AGCAGCCTTTCAATCTTGGCTCCCTTGAGAATAAAATACTATATCATCATAGGCAGTCCAAACAACTAATGAACAAAATCAACACGAACAGACACAATCCAGTCTGGAAAGCCTATTCTATCATGCAACCTCTCTTCGACAAACCAGAACGGGGATTACCCGATTTATAGGCTTCAGTGGCTCAGCAATGAAGAACAGTGGTGCCGTTGAGTTTCTGGCAGTACCGTATTTTTTAATATCTCAGCCGTCACACACAAACAAGATCGGTGAGTTCTCCGGTCACTCAAAAGGACTCTTAGAATTTAACACAATTTGATCATGCGCGCCTGACGAGTTTGACATGACTTCGTTGATCTATCACCAATAACCGGACATTTACACCTTTCCACTATCATGTTGGAGTATTCAAATGCTTCCAAGTGTATAAAATGCATCTTCACTTTGTGGTTAGACAACCAAAATGACAAATCCAACAGTCATAATAATACCGAGGTTAGACCACTGCGCGGTAGGTCTGTAGTGGCATTGGATCCCAATCATAATCTTCAAAGCTGGACTTGGGATGACTGAATAAATAGGCTTCCAACATGTAACACTAAGATGAGGTTAAAAATGGTGGACACAAGAACATTCGTTCTATCTTTAGTTCAGCGAGTGGCAATCACTTTCAGTATCTTGGTTTTTGACCAGAGTAAAGGGGTGATAATGCTGGGTGGAAAAGAGATTACGTTGTCGGGTCATTGATTTTCGTGTAATATTACTTCCGTTTTCAATCCCATATGATGACTTTTAATAGTAGCATTTTTCCGCATTTAGTTTGATATTTTGACCAGTATGACTGGTTTATTGCAGTGTGATCTTATTTTAAGTTAATGTTCTTTGCACTAATGCAGGATGGAATTCGTTTAGTATGGTATTCACCTCTGATTTTAGCAGTAATTCTGTATACGTTTCCTATCTGTGATAATTATTAACTAATCTGGAGTAAGATGAATAAATAAATGTGTTCATGTATCATTTCGATACACTTTCGGGTTTGGGTTCAATATGTCAAACCAGCAAGCACATCTAGTGCATCCATGGACACGAAAGACGAAACAAGAGACAACGGCAATAAACAGGAATCTTTTACTGAGGTTATTTTTCCGTATCAAAAATTGTTCCATTGATCGGATTTGTTTGTGAATGACTGGATCTTTAATCTTCATCAATTTTGTGAGCAATAACAGACGGTTTGTTTCATTCCTTGTTCCATTTTGTTCATTTTATGTTATCTCTGTTGTTTGTTATATATAGCTCGCCTCTCATTTTGATTTTTCCACATCATTTAGCTTCGATGTTTCATTTACGTGCATTTAGAGTACACCGTTCATATAGGTGATGGGTGTCTATCTTTCTACTTAATTCATCATCTAAAACGCATGGTCATTAAGATCCTGAAGTCATCAAGATAGATGGCCTAAATATAACGGTAGCAACTCCTGTAAATCACGTCAGTCTCAATGCAGATCCAGGATTATAAGTGGTATTCTGGTGATGGGAATCAAAGGATTAGGAAAAGTGTTCAAGGTAGTTGGGAAGAAGTGAAAATGACTAATTTATGTTGTCTCGTTAAAACGTAAGCGTCTTTGTTCGGTAGTTTTGTGGTGCTATTGCGATATACGATGTCAAGAATTTGCAGTGGGAAAGGTTTGGTAGCAAACATACGATGTTTGGTTTCAGTGTCATGTTTATCGTCTAGGAGGGAAAAACACAAAATATCCGGATGCACTTAGGTATGCTCTGCTGCTATGAAAAAACTTTTGAAAAATGGGATTGTATGACCTATAACCAAGGGGCCTTATTTTGTTCCGATCGAAATCCAACTCTCTAGTTCGAACTTACACAATGATACGACGAAACCAAGATCAACGTGATTAAGCTAAACCACTGGGTTTTTCTGCATATTGCACGAAGCCCTCTTGAGTCACTCGCGGTCTATGATTATATCTCAATGAAATTATAACACAACCCACTGTGTGAATGCACGTAGCATTATTGAATGACGGCAAATTATTCCAGAAAATTCAACACACTTCAGCAACCACTTCATAGTGAAGCTTTCCTCTTATACGAAATAACATGGTATGTACTAAGTTCGATTCTGCAGACTATGGTGAAGATGAATGGCAAATACTCGACAGATTTCAACTCTCAAAACATTTCAATAATCAAACGGTAAATGTATGTATATTATTGCAAATCTATAGAGACATTGTCCTCCACCATAAATATAGAAACAAAATTCACTATAAACCCTGAATATTGGGGTCCCTCGTAGCTTAAAAACAAATGGACAACTGAAAAAGAACAGAACCAAAGGATCAAGGTTAAAATTATGCACCAACTAGTTTTAAACCTGAGTCTAACAACGATTTCGAAATTCCATATAAAGGAAGCAGCATTCACAAAAATGGTTTATGGTAAATCAAACACGTCAAGGTTCTTTAGCAGCGCTATATATTGAAAAGTGGTTAATAAGTACTTGAAGATCACTGAGAATATTCCCGACGGAAGGAAACTAATGTCCTGTCTACAAAAATCAATTGAAGTGACACACGTTTTTATCAGACGCCTAAAGAGTACTGACAACTAGTCACTACATGTTGTCACACAAGATACCACCGTAATCGACCTGGTATCATTCGATAAAAAATGAAAGACTGATAAAAAATTTCAACCGAAGAATAAAATTTCAGTCAATGAAAATCAAGAAATATCGAGTCAAGTGTGCATATGATCTGGATAATATATAGTGAAGAAAAGGTCGCAAATCCTAAAAAAATAGCGATGCCATAAAATGGAAGACTTTGAAGGAATTTACAAAGCAACAGTTGTATTATTTGATTTTCTGAGGACAGCAATTTGAATGAAACGCTCGTGCTTGCTCGTCATAAAGCCAGGTTGTCTAAGTCTGTCTGGTTAAACCTATTAATTTCGATTGATGAGTCGATAAACTACTGTCATTTGAGTTGAACACTCACGACTGGCTACTATCATACTTTTCATTGAGCTGCCAATTATGAAATGAGACCAGCACTTTACGTGAACATGATTAATGATTTCACTGATCCTTTTAGTCAAAGATCAGCTTTTTGTTTCCGTGATGTTTTCCCGCACTTCGATGTATTTTTCGCGCTGTTCTATCTGGGAGCTCATTAAATAGTTTCAGTGGCCTATATAAGGCATTGTTGCGGTGAACCCGCAAGCTCTTTTCTAGCCTATGGTAGAATGTAGTGTGGCGATTGCAACAAGCAACTTTACAACAAGAGCACCGGAATCATACCAGCTGCATATAATTGGAGTCTCAAGCCGCCATCATGTTGGTTGTGCAAACCATGCAGTTCTACAAAGTCTCTACTGATTCTTGGGTTGATTTAGCCGTCAAACACAGCTAGAAGGATGTCCTCAGATAAAGCCGGCGGCAGATGGACAGCTGTCAGATTTCTAGAAAGTAATAAGCGTCAATGTAAGTCCAGCTTTAGATCTGAAACTATCAAGGAGGACATCCATAACGTAGTGGATGATAAATACACTAATGTATGCACTATAAAAAGGTAAAAGTGTGCAAAGAAGAGGAAAAATTACAGAGAGCTATAAGAATGTGAGTTGGCTGTTTCAGCTATAGAAACCCATATTAACTATATTGATGCAAAACATACTAAGCAGGAACAGAGTCAGAACACCATGGAGGATCTGATAAAGAAACAAACTGAAAATAACGATTGACTCAAACTACCACTTACGATTTTAGAGAAAAATATTATGGTATGTACGGAGGTTACCAAATCCAATTTTATGAAGTTTGTGCTGATGATGTCGTTCAGAAGAATGATGAAATCTCCACGACCAAACCATCCAGCTCAGAGAACAAAAATCCACCAAAATCATCCACCTGAGCTACAAATCTTCTCCATATTGACTGAGAACTGTTATAAACCAAAACCCCCTACATTTATTCCAGCACATTGTAGATCTCACCAGATATGACCTATAAAACTCTGTATTGGATTCGACCATAGCCTACGGTGATGATGTCAGCCAAATGTTCTTATCATATTCAAGTCCATGAAATGTATATTCAGTCAAATAGCTGCTCCAGGCCGTCCTAACATATTCTAGGCAGTCATGAAGGCGATGAACTCTGCAACCTCGACCAAAAACTGGAAAATTGACTCAAATATGTCAGTAGTGGAGGAATAAGCTTAATTCTAACAGTTGTACACTCAGGCAACTCGACCATTTATACCGTGGACAGTTCCCTGAACAGAACTGGATACTCGATGATTACTAAGTCAAAAGGGAAGACGTGGAATGTCACCATTAGCCTTGACACAGAACACGCTATGGAACGCTTAAGATTTGTCCGAAAAAAGTACACTAGGATAATCTGAGTAGTTTGGTGAAAATGTGAGAAGCAATCGGCACAATTTGTTATCGATCAGCCGAATAGATTGTCCCTGTCCATAAATTACGGAACAAGAATTCATCATTGGATTCTCAACCAAGTTATGGGATGGGGGCATCTTAAATAACAAAAAACGCCAAGGCAAGGCAAAAGCCATAGTGGACTATTTCGGGACAGTATTCACTCAGGAGTCTCATCTAGACTAAGAACTAGATCCAAACACAAAGTCACAAGATCGATTGCTCGCTATAGACTTTGATCGAGACGACAGACTAGAGGCTCTTTGCACCCGAAAATAGAAAATCAACAATTTCAGATTTAAAAGATAGTATGCAAGTTGAAAGTGAACAAAATACATGTGACATACAGGTTTTCACAATATATTATCCAATCTTGGAACCTGTTCCTCGAAAAAGTAGTGCACGATCCATCAGTAGGCTCATTCACAAGAAGACTAAAGACTCTCTCGAGCTTGTTGGGAAACCGCTTACACAATCCGTAGGCGTTTTGTCCTGAGAAGGGTTTATCGCTTGTTTTATAGTATGAAGTGACCGTCAAAGTGACCTTGAACGATTTAAATGTAATCTCGGTAGGCGAGTATATAACGTTGGGAGAGAGAATCTATCATTTAGAGGGTAATTAAATTAATTCCACATGGTGATTCTAAAAGTATTATAAACTTTATGAGTCAAATGCTGCGTTAAGTGGTGAGAACAGAATATATGGAAGAACCAATCAGATTTAGAGTAACATGTTTTGGATTTTGTTACGGAATTCATTCACCCATTTGTTAAATAACGTTTTGGAATTTTGACCAATGTGAGTTCGTGATAAAAGCCATAGAGTTAATGCGTGGACCTACTTATCGGCCGTAACTCATATTCCTTACTCTCCAAATAGTTTCATAACCCTCATTTAACCCTAGTAAGTAGGTGGACATTCCCGAGATCACCAAGACATCACTAAAAGGTTGTCCATAAATTTTGGTCTCACCCATCCCAACAAGTTCGGGTGGTTCTGCGTCTTTATTATCCATAGAAATCAAGTCACATGGTTTTTATAGCTGTTCAATGTAGGTGCTGGTAGGCGTGTGAGCAAACAACCAATCTATCTCGAATTATTTTCACCCATGACTTAATTCTCATACATAAAACCAGTTTTTAGTGTTACGACGGGTCACACTACTACAAGGGAGGTCGCGTTACTGACAGCGACTAATACTGTTTTGGTTACTATCTCTGTGAAGTAGCACATACTTGTCCATGCTGTACTTATTCATACCGTTCCTTTTCTGCAGCACAATGATATAATTTGGCATTATTCTAAGCCTTCACTTTTTTGCTTGAAAAATAATTGTTTCAACCACTAGGTTACTTAATACTTGCAATCTGAGAGTGAGAGTCAATTTTCAGGCCATATATGATGCATTCTCCGGAAACTTGTAAAAAGTGCACGTTATTCATCAAATAATTAGTGTTTACAAATGTTTCATCGTATTTCGGTACTCGAATAACATAGTTGTTTTGTATTTTGGCCGTAACCAGATTTGAAGTGAATGATTGACTTCAAAATAAAAAATATTGTGAATGTAAAACAATATAAGTCTGGTAATTAAAGAGAATGTTTTTGTGGATTTCTTCGAAAACTGTTAATGGATGTTCTGTTTGTTCATCTTTATATTTATAGATGGACGAGTTGTCTATGTATAACCAACTACTATGTGTGGTTATAAAGTAGTTTCCAGCCTTCCTTTAAGTCGGACACTGCATCATTTACAGACTATCTCAACACTTTTCCCCATTATAGTATTCTGATACAGACCTGTTACAATGGGAATATTGAAATGTCACCAGGTCAAACTAATGGTGTTCATCTATTTCGTAAAATATAATATCTATGACTTTGTTACCGATTGTTAACAAAATAAAATAACATACATTTTCACATACGTCCATGCTTTACAGGTTTTCTGTTTTGAATTTCCGAGAGACCTATTAAAAGTCCGAAAAATTGTCTGGTAATCTGCTCTAATTTAAAATGAGTTCAGACTGGAATTCGTTACCAGTCCAATTATCTGAAAGCATACTAAAAGCTATTGATGCATTAGGATTTAAAGAATCTCTGCCTGTTCAGGTAATCCTTTCATGTTTATTTTTAATATCGTTAGCAATATGTTATCCCTCTCCTATTAAATTCAAAAGATGTTGCAGCTGAGGCTATCACTGGTTCTGGGAAAACTTTGGCATTTGTTATTCCCGTTTTGGAGATATTATTAAAAAGAAAACGCCCATGGCAAATATATGAAGTAAAACATCATGAAATAAATCTTATACCAAATAGATTGGAGCTTTGATTCTATCTCCTACCTGTGAATTAGCAATTCAAATATATGAGATAGTGTTACACTTTATCAAATATGTCAATGCAAACTCCAAGTAAGTAATAAATCAATCTAATTATTTCATATTTTTACATATTGTCTCTGTCGTGGTTTTTGTTTATTTGTTACTTTTCTGAGGCCTAGATTTTACATTAAGAATAAATTTAAAATGTGGATAATACCCCCTCCCCCCAAAGTTCGATTGTTTAAGAATCCGTCATTCATTGATTTATGATTTTTACACCAACAACTGAGTGAAAACATAACATTAGTCCATGATGTCATTGATTGTTAGTCTGAGTTATGTTAGTAGTATGGCCGAGAGTGGGGTGGGCCCGCCCTCTCGAAATGCTCTCACACGGCCACGCGTATACAGCATCTGCCAGGGAAGTCCAGCTCACTGCCTTCTCACACCACGGGGATGTTGTTTACGAAAATGAGAGGACGGAAAGCGATTGTCCTGCGTTTTAACCGGATCCCAAACCAATGGTTTACATGGGCTCCAGTATCCTTAAGGAACAAATAGCGTATGAACCGATTGTTGGTCACCGGCTACCATGAGACTGCATCTCCTCACGATGCTCTACTGCCTTGTGGATCAGACCTTTAGGTCAGAGGCTTGGAATGTGGCCCCCTAAGAAAACCATCTACTTCGATCTGGGCACTCAGGCAGTATCACAGCCCACACATAAACAGAATGAAACGACGATACTTACGGAAAATACTATTCTTGCTTCGATTAACAGTCAAACGATTCATATTATTATTATTATTATTATTATTATTATTATTATTATTATTATTATTATTAGTGGCGATCATGCTGTAACCTTTTACTTTCTTCGTAAAAAGTGGTTGTATCTTGCTTAACTGAAAGAATTCTTTCTGGTTGTACCTTTCCGTTTCCCCCATTATTATTATTATTATTATTATTATTATTATTATTATTATTATTATTATTATTATTATTACACTACCTTACGCCAATCTGTGGTCGTTATTGTTCTTTTTTCTTATGCGCTGCTTACCTTCTTTTTCCTCTTCCCATTCTCATTGTTTTGTGTGGTGCATATATATTTAGCGCCCCCTTGTACCAATATTAGTGTTCAAATAAATAAATAATAAATAAACCACGGTCGGTTGTTAAAAGGCTATGGGTTTGGGCTTCAGTTCATGAACTAATCATTTCTCCTATCTTAGTCCCTTAAGTATTTTACCAACCTGTTTTCCCATTATAATTCAGAGATATACTAAAACGTTGCTTATTTTAGTAAAAGTTAGTATCTTTGTAAGGAAGCTATCTTCAATTTTATAAAGCAGGTGTATTTTCGTATTATCATGTTTTAAACAAAATTCAAAACGTTACATGAATAACTAAACCATTTACCTAAATTTCATAGTTCTATAGATTTTGTGAATGGATTATTATGTTCTTGTATATTTGTTTAGTTGTGGAAAATTTCATTCTGAACTGTATCAATGTAATTATAGCTCTGTTGTTTTAACGTTCTGTTGAAAACTAAGTCATGAGTATAAAATGAACTTGGGATATCATTATATGAGTGGCCGTTATACATTAAATTGTTGTTAATCACATAGAACATTGTATTTTTACGCTGTAATAACTGTGTATAATAGAGCATGTATTCAGAATCTTATCCTTGTTGACATCATCTCCAATATCATATAATGACTCAATAATTTGATTCAGAAAAAAAGAAATCTGTGGAATAGAAAGATATAATATAATTTTGAAAATCACTATCTAAGAGAAGATAAAGAGTGAATATATCTGTGCTATTTTAACTAATTCTAAGTCATATCGTTCAGCGTCTCCAACTACTGATTACGATAATCGTATTGACCCCGACCAGGTAGTACACATCTACTAACACGGCTCAATTCAATAATGACTGACTTTATGAACCGATGCTGTGTATGAGTTTACCTGCCTTTAATTTTTTTTAACAATATCTATGTATTTTTAGTTTATTATTTAAATGATCACAACTTAATGAATTGAAAGATTTCCAGACAGATTATTTTTCCTTGTTTACTAGTGAGTATAATTTCTCAGCGCTTGTCTTCACTAGTAGTGGACGTTCTAGTGGAGCTACAACAAAATTTCAAGACTTCAATAATTTTAAAGAAAAAGGTTCCACTATTCTTGTTGCTACACCTGGACGGTTAACTGATTTAATTTTGGCTGGTGCAATTGTTGACTATGGATTAGGTAATATGGCTAATCCTATTATCCGTGGACTTCGAAGTATGGTAGGTTACCTCCTGAAATTATTCCATTCAGTACATTGTTTATTATCCTCTATCTAGATTTCGAATTTAACTATTGTTTTTTTTACTGTAAAAGCATTCGAGTAAACAAAATTCTCTGTATGTGAAATAACTTCATACAACTTAATAATGGATCGTTAATGGATAACAAAATGCATCCAAATAACAATGACAACTAAAGTACCAATTTATGCATGATGTCTCTGATATGTTTGACTATTCTGGACAAATCATATACTAACTCAAGATGAGGTACACTGTAAGTGAGGAATTCAATTATCGGCAGAGGCTTTGTTAGTAAATTATTCATCTTTTAAAGGTTATTCAACCACATGTCCTATCTAAGTTAATTTACATTACTATTCAGCTTTTACTGAAACAGTTGGATCACCTTTCCCTTACATGATTAGTAGGTTAACCAAGCATTCGGAGTGGGGAGTGTTCACCGTTAACCGAATCGGACCGTAGAACTCGATAATCTCCTACCATAAGAACAATAAACATAAAAAACACTGACACATATCTATTGGTTGTTTGGATTCTCCGATTGATGTTTAGGACTTTAATTGATCAGTCTGTTTTAGCATATGTACATCCTGTGTGGATTGCCTCGGTATTATCATAAAGTCACTGGAATTTTATAAGCAGAAATGGATGATAGCTTACAGTGAAATAAAACACTGCTTTGATTTTGCTTTACAAAACCTATTACTATCAAACATTTTCAAGTGGACCTAATGCAAACAAAAAGAAAGTTTGATTAACTTCTCTTTCCTACATGGTAACGCGATTATAGTTATATAATTTCATCTGTCATATAATCTCTATTTAACTATCCATTGTTGTTTACTCGTTACGTTAATTCTATCTTACCCGTGCGACTTAATTATAAATTATCGCTTATTTTGTAGAAAATTTTGTCCTTATAATTTTCTGACCCATTTCAAATGTCAGTCTAAACTTCATTAACTAAGTAATGGAGAACTGTGTTTGTAATGACGCACCTAAACACTTGTACCAATGTGTTCAACAAAATTACGACAGTCTAATCAAGATACGACAATTACATTACGCCTATATACACCACTAGACGTTTGGTAGCCTTATCACAAAGATTCGAATCTGAGTTTTGTATCCTGAACACTCCTCAACAAAGTGTGTCCATAACGTCTAGGAAGTTGGTGCTTCTTAGGAAATTCGACTCTATCAATGACGTCAATTTTTAGTTATTCAACAGTCGATTATCAATCTGAAAGAAACGATTTAGTAATCCGGATGACAAAATATAGTCATCTATTTTAGTGATTTAATTATTCAACTTTCTCTTAAACAAATTTCAAAGCTCACTATTTATTTGAGAATTCAGATAGGTGAATTTAGTTCACGATAAGCACTATATAAAGCTTAGCACATATAACCCTATGATTCGTTACTGAGTTACATCATTTATGCCTTACATTAAAAAATTAAAACAATAATGAGTATTGTGTTAAATATGCATTCATTCGTTTACTAGATAATGAATTTATACCATTTTTCTTGTCGAATAAGTGTACTTTATCTTGTTTTTTAAATCAGCTTGTGCCAATTATAAGTGAATATACTATGAAGAGCAATGTCATTATATTATGCTACTGTTATAGAGATTTCTCACATTCCTTTCCTTTCCTTTCTTTTCTTTAAAATAGGAGGTTTTGATACTTGATGAAGCTGATCGTCTTCTAGAAATGGGATTTGAATCACAGTAATTATTTTATTTTAATCACAAGTTTATTGATTACATTTCATACATATTCAGTTGCTGGGTCACATATTTTCGCATCAATTCTATGCCTACAATTGAGTGATCATTGATTACTGACGGAATTTTATGTTTGTCTAGTTCTTTAGTTGAAATCATGACCGGATCTTATCTAAATCACTAGTGAAAGCTGAAAGCAATAAGCGGCTGTTTCGTCCTAAGTAGTGCCCATCCATGATCCTCGTACTGGGACTAAACACTGCTTCCAAGTTTTTAATGGTCGTTTATCTAAGTCAAGTTCGTGATTTGTATAATGAAAGTTCTTCAGTCTCTACAAGTCCCATCATATTAATAGTTCTTCGGTGCCGATCAAGTTTCACTGTGTCCATCAGTCTGATTTAATTGATATTGTATTCACTGTTTTGAGCTGTTGAAGGTTATCGACCGAATATCCCAAACTTAAATTACTTACCTACGCCTTTTAGCCCTCGTGGAGTTCTTCATAATCCATTCACCCACCAGGAGGAAGAGAAAGGTTGGGAGTAAATAGCCATTTCAGATACCAGTCCTCACTATGCCGCGTATAACCATTTTGTTGAATGCGTATAAATTTGAGAATCCGTCACCGTTCCCGTTCATTTCTCCCAGTCAGTCCATATCATCCCATGATATCTTGATATCTAGTGTTGTCCATTTCGGCTCTCTCCCTTTCTGTTTCTTCTGGTGGCTGTGAATGGATTATGAAGACCTCCACATCTCAAAGGAAGCACGGAATACAATGGACAGCTTTGATTCAGCTAGACGATTTGGACTTTGCAGATGATCTAGCACTTCTATTCCATACACACCGACAAATACAAGTCAAGACAGCCAGTGTAGCAGAAGCCTCTGTATTAGTATACTTCAGCATACATGTAAGAAGAACCAAGATTCTGAAATACAACACGGAAAACACCAACCCAATCACACTTGATGGAAAAGCTCTGTAATAGTTGGAAACTTCCACGTACCGGGACGGCATCATCGATGAACAAGGAGCATCTGATCCAGATGTAAAGGCAAAGATTGGCAAAGCAAGAATAGCATTCCTACAGTTGAACAGCATATAGAATTCAAAACATCTATCAACCAACATCAAAGTTACAATCTTCAGTATGAACGTCAAGACAGTTCTACTGTATGGAGATGAGACTTCGAAAACGACTACAACCAGGTACAAGTATCTATAAACAATTGTCTACACAAGATACTCAATGTCCGTTGGTCGGACACCATCAGCGTAAGCCTACTGTTGGACAGAGCAAACCAGCTGCTTTACACACTAATTGTTTAATAAATACACATTATTGATTGAGATCATGGACCGATTGATGTTAGACCACCACCTTTGGAAACCTGGAAGCACTGGACGGCCGTTTCGTCCTATTGTGGGACTCCTCAGCAGTGCGCATCCGCGATCCCGCTCGCGGGATTCGAACCCAGGGCCTTCGGTCTCGCGCGCGAACGCTTAACCAACTGGACCACTGAGCCGGCATCCAATGGTGATAGTGTCTAACATCAACCAATCCACGAAATTGCGCGACCAACTTCCATTGTACTGAGGTAGATACTTGTCTCTACCCGACATGGATTAGCTCCACTGATCACGGCGAGGGGGTCGTGGATGCGCACTGCTGAGGAGTCCCACAATAGGACGAAACGGCCGTCCAGTGCTTCCAGGTTTCCAAAGGTGGTGGTCTAACATCAATCGGTTCATGATCTCAATCAAAAACGTAATAATCTCCACAACCCCCATACTAGTAAATACACATTACATATACACAAAAAGATTAATTCTAAAATGTCCTCTTCAATTTCAACATTTCTCCTCTTTCTGACGATCTGATTTATTATGCATCAACTTCAAAATGAATGTGATACTTCAGTAATATCCTTGGCTCTCCAATCATGACTTCTAACGTATATAGAATCTTTGATATTAGTCAAGAGAACATTTTTAAAGTATATTTATCAGATATATAGGGAGATGTAATTCACCTATCGAGTGGAGGTATCTGTTCTCGGCTTTTAGCCGTGCTATTTATGTAAGTTTATAATGCTCTCCGGCTGGCCAAATCAAAAGTAGGTGGGGAGGGTCTCGACCCTGCGGCCTACTGTCTGAAACTCCGATGTCGTCCAATTGAAATGTCTGATCAATATATCTTACTCGTGTATTTGTTGTAAGTTTTGTCGAGCTGGATAATTATTAAGCGATAAAGTTATGATAAACCGGTTAGAGATAATATATTACCTTCGATAATCTTCCTTCAACTATAGACTAAAGATATGTAAGTTTTATTTGGCTGTTAAAATTTACCATCCAAGTCTGATGGAATTCGTTTAAAATGAAGGCTTTCGTTTGGTTCTATAAAGTTTTGCTCCATTCTGTATTAACATGGTTCCTAATATTTTGTTGCATTGTATTGGATTCCACAGAATCAACACAATCTTATCCTTCTTGCCTAAACAACGAAGAACAGGACTATTTTCTGCAACTCAAACAACTCGTGTTGAAGATCTTGTAAGAGCTGGTAAGCAAGTTTGTTTTTATGTAATACCGAACTATTTAACCTAAAGTACTTGGTTATTTACTCATATTTATCTTAATAGTTGAGATCATAAGTCAACTGAAGCTATGTGTTGCTTACTTATTTATTATTTATTTACTTAAACACATAAACATTGGTAGAAGAAGGCACCAAATAGATATGCTCCACATTAATCAATCGATCTATATGAGGATTGGGATACTTCCCGGGTGCCCAATCCGAGGCAGGTGGTTTCCTTAGTAGGCCACATCTGGAGCCTTCATCCTAAAGGTCCAATCCATAAGGCCAGTGGAGCAACGTAAGGAGATGCAGTTTTATGGTAACCGGTGACCAACATTAGGTTCATACGCCATTTGTTTTCTTAGGATCCTAGAGCCCATGTGCACCAATAGTTTGGAATGAGGGTTTTTCAGCTCCCCTAGATGGACCCTCCATATCCACCAACACGGTTAAAGCACCGGACATTCGCTCTTCGTCCTCCTAATTTCTTAAACAACACCCATGGTGTGAGAAGGCAGTGTGTAGGACTTCCTTGGTAGTGGTTGTATGCAGGTGGTCATGTGAGAGCATTTGGAGATGGAGAGCTGATTCTCCCCACTCTCGGCCGTACTGCATTGCTTACACTGACTAAATGAACATATTTTTCATAATATAATACATCGATTTAATTCGTAGTAAATCTAGACCTGTGTTGCATTTTATTAACTTAAAACTTACGTATTTGTCCCATATCCATCCTATCTTTGATTTGATTCTATGATAACTATACTAACTCTAAGTTATTAAGATGTATAGAAAAATATTTTTATTACTAGGTAGTTTTAAATGGTTCATAAACTGATTTCATTTCATGATAATTATTTCCAAGTTGTTTGAACGGTATGAAACATTACCTTTAAAAAAAATAATAGAACATTTATAGGCCATTAGTATTTGGCCATATATGCCTTCGAAGTATTCTGCGCGTATGTTTCAATCACTGAGTTGGTAGTGCTTAAGTTAAGGTGGTAAATCAGTTAATGGAGTAGGTAGTATATCTGCATCGACTACTGTAGTTAAGCCAAGTATGTTCAACAATTTCCTATCTCAACGAGTGGTGTTTGTTTGTGTAGGAGTGAGTTGGAATAAAGCTAGAGGCAGTCAAATCAAAACATGGCATCAATACATCATGTTAACAACTAGACTGGGTCATATTGGTAGGTGAAGACTACTTGGTTAGGGTCCGCGTGGTAACCGTCGTCAGTGGGTGGGGGACGTTCGGTGACTTGGCTAAGAATCAGTCATAATGGTGTAGATGAATTCATTCTTTGCTTTTATCTAGATACAAACTTTCAAGATCTTACGTCTTTTATTTTTGTATTTATTCGTTTCTGTTACTACTTATGCCGTCAGTACTTCTGCTGCTCTGTCGTTTTGTCCTAACAATTTTATCTCGCTATGTTATTATGGTATGGTAACTTGAACCGATGTATCTATGTGCCAGGTTCTACTTTGGGCATATTTTGACAACTGATTTCCTTTCTTGGTAGTTGTGTACATTTTGATTCAATTTTTCGTTCTTACTGTAATCATAGGACTCCGTAATCCAGTTCGTGTGACCGTGAGTCAACAAACACAGAAAGAATTAGAATGTGCGAATAATCAGTCTCTGCAACAACGCATTCCATCTGCCCTTCAAAATTTCTATACAGTAAGTAAATATGTGTTCTATCCATAACAGGTAAGGCGTTTGTTTAACATATTTGTTAAGTATGTCAAGCTGTCTAACTACACAACTGAGGTGCACGTGAACTCCAAGTTGGAAACAAAGAAGTATCCAGAGGACGGAGTTATTATCAGAATATATATGTAACTTAGTTACAAACCTCAGCTCGTGAGGTATCTATGACAACTAACACGCTTGTATGTATATAAAGGAAATATTTTCTTCAATAATAAAATTAAGATTAATTAAAGCATATAATGGAGCTAATAACATCCGGTAGCTCTGTGTTTAAATCCAATAATGACAATATTAATAATTGAACGGAGACTAGGAGTACAAAACCATGAAAGCTGTAGCGTTTAAACAAGGATTCAAGGAATTCAAAAAAATTAAAAATAACTGTTCCAGGCGTTGAGAGAATGTAATTACAATAATAGAGAAAGCTAATGTTACTTGAGAATGTTACAAAACGAATATTCGTCACACTATATGCTCAGAGGTTATAGAAATAAAACTGGCTACTGAATACTAATAAGTAATATAGGGTGATACACAAAAAAGAATTGAGTGATGCGATAATACAAAAGAACGTAACACTATTGGAGGGAGGACTTCTTATAATGTTAAAACTATTTTCGTTGTTAATGGTAAAATGGAAATTTTACTAACACTTTGAGTTTACTCTAAAGAAATATACGGATTGCATCGATGGGAAGATCCAAACAACCAGTATATATTCATTAAAATTCATTCTGTCGCACAAGCGATTGGCTATCTGGACTCAGTAGCGAAATGGAAAGCGCAGTTGTGTTCGAAGAGGACGGTACTGGGTCCGAGTTTTGAGGTGAACACCAACTCCAGGATGTAATTACTTTCGGCCAACGAGACTCCCGTCCTAGATCCCATTGCTATTCATCATTCATTTCTGTCTAAAAAGTGAAAGATATTTGTCTACTTAACGAAAGTAGAGGACAGATGGGAACTTAAAAATAACTTATGAAATAAGAGAGGTCGTTATAACCATAATGAAGTAGAGAATCGGACGTATCGCTTCTGAGTAGAAAGATGAATTTGAAATTGATAAGTTGCCGAAACCTTTGCCGTTCATAAATTTCTTATCCAGCTGCTCCTTTTAAAATCAGTTCGTTTGATTTTGCAAACGGTTTGGAATAAAGATTCTGGTAGAAATAGGATGACCAGTTGTTCAATAATATAACTTCTGACTAATTTGCACTTACTGTTCGATATAACCATACTGGATAGTATTCCAATATATGCTTTAAAAGATCACACTCTGTCCCGCCAATGTAGCATATTGCGCGAGAGTATTCCAACTGACTATAGATAAACATTCAAGTGACTGGAGTTGACCATTTTTTTCTTTTACATATCCCTATATATATATATGCTGAGGGGATTACGATTTGTAGCTTATTATTTATTGGCTTGTACATTTATTGACTTTTATGATTGTGAGCCATGTCGATATGTACAAACTGTCTAGTTGGGGTCAGTGAGATTATCGTGAAGAATGTGGTTTGAAACACTGGCTAACATGACACAGAATTGGTCACATAGGCAGTGATTCGTCGATTTGTTGTCTTTCATTACACCATGAGTTTTTCAAAATTACTTTTCGTACCTTTTATTCCATGAATTCTTACTTTCTTCTCAAATCATATCATCTATACCTAATATTTTCTTCTACAACTGTGATACAGTTATTACTCCTACTACTTTGACATCTCAATGCGCTGATATGGTAGGACGCCTTGAACTAATGCGAATATGTCCCAGTTTCTACATCGCATATCACTTGCTGAATAGCTGACTTTACCCATAGAAATCATCCACTTGGTCGTGATGATTTTGTAAGGTGATGGTTGAAAGTAGTCAGCAAGAAACCATGGACCAATGTTTCGTGCTACTTGGCATTCGTTAGCAAGTTGTACCTGTAATCTTAGAGGAACTAATCCTTCTTGGGGGATTCGATCGCGTGTCACCTATCATGAAAGATAGGATTCGGTCTGCACTAAGAACTTGACATACATGACATTAATCACTGCTCGGTGATCAAACAGTTGTAAATGTTTTTCATTTATTCATTTGAACACATAAATATAGATACAGGGAGGCACCAAATATATATGTGCAACACTTGTCGTTCGATTTTTGTGAGGGATGGGGTACTTCCCTGGTTCTCAAACCGAATCAGGTAGTTTTCTTTAGGGGCCACTCCTCGGGCCTTTGACCTAGAGGTCTAATACACAAGATAGTCGAGCAACGTCAGGAGATGCAGTTCCATGGCAGCTGGCGACCAACGATAGGCTCATATGCTGTTTATTCCCTCAGGATACTGGAGCCCATGTAAACCATTGTTTTGGAACCAGGGTTTTCCAACTTCCATAAGTGAATCCTCCATATCCACCAACCCGGTTAAAGCACCGAGCATTCGCTTTTCACCCTCTCAATTTCGTAAATAAAACCCTTTTGCGAGAAGGCAATGAGTAGGACTTCCCTGACAGTGGTTATATACTCGTTGCCATGTGAGAGCATTTGAAGAGGGAGAACTGACTTCCTCCACCCTTGACCGTATCAGGGCATTTTTAGGCACTTATAAATGTAATGATTTTCTTTCTGGCATATACACATATACACATTTTGTTTGTTTTTCTTTGGTTTACAGATTGTTGAAACAGATGAGAAAATTTCATTAATTGTACGATTTATTTTAATGCATAGAAAAGAGAAAATCTTAATATTTTTCGCTACATGTGCATGTGTAGATTATTTTTATTGTATACTTAAAGGTTTACTATCATTGAAACAATCAAAACGTATACAAAGATTACACGGAAAATTGAATAAAAAACGATTTGATCTTTTCACAAAATTTAAAAATACATCTAAGTAAGTGTTGTATTAATGAGTTATAGTAGTACAATAACAATGGCTTAATATACACTTTTGTGTTTTGATCAGTCTACATGATAAGATTTCTAGCTTATTGTTATCGATTTCAAATGTGTTAATTGATGATATCTACAGATACACACGCACACTTAGTTCACCATGTTTATTTATTTTAATACATAGATATTGACACAAGGAGGCACCAAATACATATGCGTCACACAAATCTCATTCGATATGTGTGATGGCTGTGATACTGCCCGGTTGCCCAAACCGACGAAGCAGGTGGTTTTCTTAGGAGGCCACTCCCCGAGCCTTTGACCCGAAGGTCTGATTCACAAGGCAATGGAGCATCGTAAGGAGATGCAGTCCCATGGTAGCCGGTGACCAACGATTGGTTCCCTCCGGATACTGGAGCCCATGTACATTATTGGTTTGGGATCCGGATAAAACACAGGACATTCGGTTTTCGTCGTCTCATTTTCGTAAACAACACTCCTGTGGTGAGAGAAGGCAATGAGTAGGACTTTCCTGGCAGAGGCTATACACGCATGACCATCTGAGAGCGAACTCTCCCCACTCTCGGCCCTATCAAGGCACTTGGGGGCAGTTCACCATGTAAACAGTAATACGAACACGTATTGATCTGTTAGTAAATTTTTAAAATTTTCTTCATTGGTTTCTAATTTTAATTTGTTTACAGTTGATTTCGTCCCTTCTCATGTGTTAATTTTTATTTATCAGTATAGGGTTGTGGAGATTTTTTTTATTGAGATCATGAGCCGATTGATGATCTCGCGAGCGGGATCGTCGGTGCGCACTTTTGAGGAGTCCCATACTAGGACGAAACGGCCGTCCAGTGCTTCCAGGTTTTCAATGGTTGTCTAACATCAATCTGTTCATGATCTCAATCAATATTTTTTTATTTAGTTTGATTTTCTCAGTTTGTGATCATTTTAGTTAAGTATCTAGTATCTAGTTATGGTAACTACAGATTCTAGGATTTTGAAATGTGAAGATTACTGAGTTTCATTGAAATCACGAAGCGATCTTATCCAGACCACCATTTAAGACCTGGAAACACAGGATGAACTTTTCTTCCTACTATAGGACTACTTAGCAGTGTGCTCCCACGATCCCACACTCCGAACTCGAACCCACGATTGCCGTCCAGTGCTTCCAGGATTTTAATGGTGGTCTAACATTGATCAATTCATAATTTCAATGAACAGTATATGTTAGTGTAGAGTCATGACGAAAAACGAATTGGAAAAAGTTTTTGCGCTATATTCCTTCATCTTGTTTCCCTCTTTCAATAACAATATTGACCGATTACATTATTCTTAAAATTATTGATATTATCGGGTGACATGTTTTACGAGTATGCAAAGGGGGAAGGTGTGATATCTGTTCATCGATGCTGAGGTGGGTGTAGTTAGTAAATTTCTAACTGTAATTGTTTCAATGTTATTCTAAATTAACAACTATAAGCAGAGATGAATAGTGTTTGAGATTGGGATTCAAGACGCGCGTTTGTTCCTATTTGGGAATCATCAGCTGGATGAGAAGAATTAAACAACTCATCCGAATGAATTAAATGAATGACTGTTTATAAGTCAACTAGAAATTTGTTGTTTTTCTCTCTTTATTTTAGCGGAATATTATTGTGTACTGATGTAATGGCTCGAGGTATAGATGTACCACATATTGATTGGGTTATTCAGTGTGATCCACCAACAAATGCAAAGTAGGCTTACAATAGAATTTCTAATGTAGTCATTTTTTTTCTTGAAAGTTAAATCTCCTTATTTGTTACAAAGATATAAGTAGTTTTCCCTTTGATATGATGAGCAAGGGTTCTACTGCATAGTCAAATGGAGGAATGAGCGACCTACAAACTCATTTCCTCCAGTCACATATGACATTTAATCATGTTATTTCTGTGTTAATATATTCTTGGCATGAATATATCATTTTTTATTATTTTGAACATTAATTAAATGGTCTTATCCGTGATCCTAAATTATTCAGTGACTTTATTTAATAGTTCCATTCTGTGATCAGCTATTACTCGACCATAAATCGTATCATTCCATATGGTCTGTCGATTGATTAACATACTTCTTTTCTATTTTAACCAATGAATATTCTTTTTATCAAATCATAAAATCCCTCCCTCATAATTATCCCTATCAGAACACCGATCTTTTCTAAGTATAGTTCAATACTCTGTCAGCCTCAATACGTTAACATTCAGTAGAATACAATGTAAAGTATCCTGGTTCCTGATTTGATTTGTTTAAGATTGTTAGTGTTATGATGTGCATTGCCCGAGTGTGATACTGGTACACAAACGTCCTATATGCGAACCCTTAATTGGTTACTAAATAAGACTAATGGTGAAAACGAAAGTTTGTTTGGCTAAACTGTATTCAATACGTAGGCACTCATATATATTTATAATCCAAAGGATTGTTAAGCAACGTCAGAAGATGCTATCCCACGGTAATCAGTGACCAATAATAAATCCAAACGCTATTCTTTCCTTGAGGATCCTGTAGCCTATGTTCACTTTTATCTTGGGATCAGGGTTTAACTCTTTCTTAAAGGATTTTTTGTATATTTATCAAACCCAGTCTAACCTGCAGACTTTCACATTTTACTATTCCATTCTCGCAAACAGTACTCCCACCGCTTGAGAAGATTTTGATCTTTCACGTTGTAAGGCTCATCACCCTAAATTTACAGTATCAATATTGTTATCATTTATCAATCAAAATTGTGAAAATTCTTTACCATTTTGTCAAATTGTTTTCATGTAAACTTTAACCTCATTATTTACTAATTTAATATATTTTAAATTTCAGTGAATTTGTTCATCGTTGTGGTCGAACCGCTAGATGTGGACTTGAAGGCAATGCTTTATTGTTTGTTACTTCTCAAGAAGCTGCATATATCAATTTCCTTCATATTAACCAACAAGTATATATTAAATATATTTGATACATTTTTTTGTACTATTATGATTGAAGACATAATGTAAAGTGGCGGTGACTTTATGGTTAGGACGTTCAACTTTCAACCATTAGGTAGTGGTGGTCTCCTGTTCGAAGTCCTGACTCAACTACTTCAGTTCAGACAACATTGTTGATTATATACTAAATCATTCGATCAAGTATACATTTGATTATCTTCTGACATATGTGTTCTAAATAAGTTCATCTACTGTGGTTTGTACAGTAAATCACAATGTCTAATTTTTTCACTTGGTTTTGGTTCATAGCCTATGACAAAACTATGAAATAGTGATTTAGTGTTTAAGATTTTCGACTTTTGAACTAATACTTGATTGTATGTTTAAATCCCACTTCACCTGCATACAACAACTACCAGGGAAGTCCTACTCACCACCTTCTCGCAACACGGGGGGTTGTTGATGAAATTCATAGGACAAAAAGCAAATGTCTGGTGCTTTACCCGGGTTGGTGAATATGGAGAGTCCATCTAGGGGAGTTGAAAAACCCCGATTCCAAACCAATGGTGTACATGGGCTCCAGTATCCTGAGGGAATAAATGGTGTATAAACCAATCGTTGGTCACCAGCCAGCATAGGACTGCATCTCCTCACGATGCTTCACTGCCTTGTGGATCAGACCTTCAGGTCGAAGGCTCGGGGTGTGTTTCCCTAAACAAACCACCTGCTTCGGTCTGGGCCCCCGGACAGTATCACAGCCCTCACACAAATCGAATGATTTATATGGCGCATTTGGTGCCTCCTTGTACCAACGTTTATGTGATTAAATAAAATAATAAAGAAATAAATGCTTCGAAGTTACATTCTTTCACGGATATTTGCGTTCTCCAGTCTTAGTTATTGATTTATATCATAAAACTGTATATGAGATTCTTTCATAAAGATAAATTGTTTCCGTTACAACTTATAGGTTTTTTTGTCGGAACAATTCTATATTTTTTCTACTAAGATTTGTCTGCCGTGCGCTTACTATTTCTTCTACAACCTAATAGTGTTTTAGACTTGACTAGTTATTCACCTGACCAACACTGTTGACCTCGATTCGACGCAAGATAAAGTCTTAACGATCCGCTATTCATAAGCTTTTCTCTATCCCCTGTCTTAAGTACAAAAAGTCAGTAACCGGTTTCTATTATTATTATTATCATCATAATTGAAACATGGATTTAAAAAAAAACATACTGAATCGCATTGCATGGTTGATATATAAACAAGCCAAAAGTGTCTGTGAATAGGGAAAACTATGAATAATCGATTGACAACGAAATAGGAATTATATACAGTACAATAGTAGTAAATATGTTCAATGGAAGCTCAAGATAAACACAATATATAAATATAATAATCCAGTTACTTATTAATTATATAATATAAATAATTTGTGGATTGGTTGAGGTTAGACATTAACACAGTTGGATACCGACCGGCTCAGTGGTCTAGAGGTAAAGCGTTTGCGCATGAGACTGAAGGCCCTGGATTCGAATCCCGCGAGCGAGATCGTGGATGCGCACTTCTGAGTAATCCCACAATAGAACAAAATAGCCGTCCAATGCTTCCAGTTTCTCAGTAGTGGTCTAACATTAATCGGTTGATGATCTCAATCAAAAAATATAAATAATAGTTCGAAACCCAGTTCCAACTTTTACAATATTCATCCTGTCATAACATATTATTTTATAGAGATATCTTTACATGGATATATATTTATTTTCGATGAAAATTTATCAGGTAAATTTATTACATATGGAACGCGATGAACTTAATCAACATATAGCTCCGTTGACTACAGTCGATACGATAGATTCTATCACTGAACGAATTCGAAATCTTTGTAAAAAAGACAAGTAAGTACATTCATATTTTCAGGCATTTTCAGTCGTAACCTTAATAGATCAATAATGTGGGTTTTTTTTAAAAAATTCTCAGAAGGGTTTTTTTCATAAAGTTGTTGGCAAGGTGTACCTAATATCTTGAAGAAACTAATACCATCGATGGGATCTGAAGCTGCGCTGTGAATGTGGGAGACTGTAATTAATAGACTGGGCGTAAGTTTTGTCGCAGGATGACGAGCTCTATTTGGTGCAACTGTATTCATTATACTGCTACTTGTTTATATACCAATCAAGCATACCACATCGTACCACAAAAATAGAAAACAACATTTTGTACAATATTCAACAAGTGAACAGATATCGACCAATAGGAAATGTCCATTTAAAGTCCAAGGACACCATTGGACTTAACATGATAATTATTGGTCTATTCCTCCGCATCCACAACACTGCTCGATTGGTTTTCTGTTTCTTCGTGGGTGGGTACTGCAGTAATTTCATGAGCATTTAACAAGACATCGTCTTTCTGTGAGATGGACAAGTCACTGTTTGTATATTGTGTTTCAGGGATAACTGGATTTGAATCCAATAAAGGGCATGTTTTTGAAATGGACCTTACTGGACCACTGAACGGATCATGTATGACTGCTACTGTTTCGTTTAAGTTACTGCTCATCAAGGATTCATGGAGGCTTTTGTTGACACATTCATTCATTCTGCAATCATTTTGCAGCTTTGTACGCAATTTAGAAATTAATTCATTCACCGTCTTAATGATGATACTCTTACTTTTCAGAAGTAATCTTATGAGTCTTTGAGCATTTGAATTGACTAGAGTCGTATCTGAACCACTATTCAAAAAGACACATGTACAAACCTCTTGGTTCCTTAGGCTTTAAAACGTATAGGAATTAGACCCAGAAACACACACTCTTTTGGCGGTTCTATCTACACACAATGGCTTTCTTTTAATTGCCTACTCGAGGAATCTCAGAATTTTGTGGGTTTATGCAGCAATAAGTGATACCGATCTTTTCATGCTGCAACATTAAACATGGAACGACCTTTACGATCTAATCTGTAGCCTTTTCTAAGACAAAAAAACAGAAACCTTTCTCCCTTGCCGTTGACTGTTAACCACGAGAATCAGGAACATTTCTCAGTTACTTGATTTTTTCCTTATACTACACATGTTGGCCTGACATCAATTTTATCAAACGCAGCTACTGTGTGGAACAAGCTGCCTTGCTCAAAGTTCGTCTGATGCTTGTCGCAATTTTCTTAAATCTACCGAGTAACATTCCTGCACAAGAAGATATGAATAATGTCAACTCGGCAAATGTGGGCGTTTCATACGGTTTTTACCTACCCTGACCCTATTTATTGTGATTTACACGTCAAGAGTTTCTTCAAAATTCTTACTTCGTGTATATTGATATTTTCTTTTTATTTAAAAGACTATTACATGAGAAAGCAATACGTGCATTTGTATCGTATGTTCAATTTTATCGAAAACACGAATGTAATTTACTACTGAATTATAAAAGTAAGTAATTGATGTATTCTTATTTTAAGTATAATCAATAATAGCATTCTTTCAGAACAAAAATTATCCTAAATTGATTAGACTCTCTATTCTTAATCACTTTTTTCTTGTTTTCGTTATCTTGACTATTTCTATACTGCATATATAGGATTAATGTTCTCTTACATGATACTTATTTGGAACGGTGGCTCAGTGGTTAGGAGGTTCTATGTTCGATCTGTTAGTCTGAAGTTCGAACCACGTTTTGTCTAATTCGGTCTAGTCTGTTTGGTAGTATTATAAGCCTACACACTTAAATTGTAGCTGAGATTGAATTATATATATGGTAAATAGGTTGATATATAACCCATCCCTTCAAAGAATTCTATCGTGGCAATAATTCGACTAATTGTTTTTATTAAAGTAGGATGTTTCAGTCTAGAAATGAACTGTCTTCTTTAAAAAACACAAGAAAACATAACTATTTATCCAAGAAATAAGAGTTTTATTCGTTGAGCTTGTTTGTAATTAAATTTCGTGTTCAGAAGTAAATGGTTGCATGGGAATCGGAAGTATGGGGAACCACTGTTACTCCTAATTCTTATGAACTAACGATTACTTTCTCAAGTGTTTTCTCAAATCCCGTTACATTCAAAAGTCTATATTTGTTATCGTTTCGATAAGTCACATTATTCTTTAATGACACTTCGAATTCCAAGCTAATGTGTGTTTCCTTTCTTATCTTGTCACTGACTACTGCAAAATACAAATATTTCAGGACAACAATTGACAAATAAGAAGCACTAAAGTGTTTCGTCCTAGTATGTGACTTCAGTACTCAGACTGTGCTCAGGACCTTCATTTTCTACACGAACGCTTAAGTGTTAGGCCACTGAGATAGAATCCGATGGTGTTTATGTCTACTTTCAAATAATGCACGATTTTGTGTGACCATCTGTCATCGTTTCCTCGGAGTAACTTCCATACCTGACACGGTTGAACTTCACTGGTCATAGCTATTCACTAAAATTCCAGAATTTCCTCTTAAAATTAGTAATTGGTGGAAATATGATAATTATCGGCATAGTTGTTTAATGTAGATTATTAAATGTTTTTGAGATCATATTTTTTTCATCCAATCGTTACATTTACTTGTCCATGTGGGTTTAATTTGTGTTTTTTCGCTTAATTAGAATTGGATTATGGTCGATTAGCCAACGGTTTTGGACTTTTAAAACTCCCATCTATGCCAGAATTACGAACTGGTAATGTTAGTTCATTTAATCCATCAAATGTAGATATATCAAAATTAACTTATCGGTATGTTACACATGCCAATTTTCTTTTTCTGTATTTTCTTGTTTGTTTTTTTGTTGTGTTAAACGGTTGGCAAAGTCTGACACTAATATGTATGCGAGCCCAACCAGCTACTCGCGTGACGAAACCAAGATTTAGTAGAACTCTTTTATTGGTTATTTTTTATTTATTTATTTGAACACATAAACATTGGTACAAGGGGGCACCCGATACATATGCACTACATCGTGAAATAATTGTCATCTCATCAGATTTGTATGAAGGCTGTGATACTGCCCGGGTGCCCAAACCGAAACAGGTGGTTTGCTTAGGGGGCCACACCCCGAGCACTTGACCTAAAGGTCTGATCCACAATGCAGTGAAGCATCGTGAGGAGATGCAGTCCTATGCTGGCTGGTGACCAACGATTGGTTCATACACCATTTATTCCCTCAGGATACTGGTTTGGAATGAGGGTTTTTCAACTCCCCTAGATAAATTCTCCATATCCACCAACCCGGTTAAATCACGGGACTTTTGCTTTTTGTCCTCCGAATTTCATCAACAACACCCCCGTGATGCGAGAAGGTGGTGAGTAGGACTTCCCTAGCAGAGGCTATATACACGTGGTCATGTGAGAGCATTTCGAGAGGGAGAGTGGGCTATCCCCACTTTCGGCATTTGGGGGTATTTATTGGTTAACCCGAATTAAGATATGGTACACAAATTCATTCATTAGTATAGATATATATCTAAAGAAATTAAGTCAGATTTTCAACCAATAGCATATATACATGTGCCTCGAATAACTGAGCATAATCTTGACCAATGGCATACATCTGTCAGCATCTCTCACTTGTCTTTCGACTGATCCAGCCTATAACCTCTCCTTCCCAAAAAAATATAGGTCTGACACTTTGAACCCAATTGCAGGAATTCCGATGTGGGATATAACATATTTGACGAACTATTTCTAAATATTCATAATCACACCACATTTTTCCTAAGTGAAATTCTTACACTGAATGAAAATTATCATTTTAGTGCATTTTGAATGTAAATCATACTATGACCGAAGCACACGTGTTTGTGCCTAAAAAACCTATATTCTGCTTGTTGGTTTTGTTATATGATTTTAGTCAGCGACCATGGGTTAGAACAGTAACAAATAACATAAATGTATTCATTCTTGTGTATCATAGAATATGGATCATTTATTGTACAGAAATATGACTGACTAAAATCTAACTATTCTAAGTACATAATACTCAGAGAAAACTATAAAATGTCTTGAAGGGAGAGTGTGTCAGCAAATAAAGACATCATCACACTATATACTACTTCGATTTCTTGTATTAGATAATCATCCGTTTAGTATGTTTGATAATCGTAATTTTAATGAAGTTCCATTCTTCAAGTCGAATGAGATAGTTTAATCATCATCCTTCTGGACTATACCTAGAATCATCTCAAAGGAGGGAAGATAACAAAAATGACAGGATCTTAACGTCCACCAGATAATATATCAGTTATATACAGAAAAATCTAACTAGATTAGCTCAGCCTAATGTTTACACTAACTATAATGTCCAGAAGGAACATGAAATGCTTCACAATTAAACTATTCTTTCTCAGAGAACAAAACTCCGTTGAAATCATCCACTTAAACTATAATATTTCTTTATCACCTCAATGATTATTACAGTATTATTTTTTATCCTTTGTCACCAATATATTTATTTTTGCAACTAAGAATAAGAGATAATGTTAGCAAGACATATATTGGATTAAAGCATGCTCCATACACGATTGCATTGGTGCACACTGATTGGCTAATTCTTATCCTTACCTACTTATTCTTACTTCAATCTACCCTTGTTATTTGGGATATAAAATTTCTTTCCTGTCCAACCGTGTTCTGATTTGGGGACTTGTCGAGTGAATTGGTGTCCAAGAATACTAAGCAATAGGAATAGCTCGGTTCTAATAAGAAAGAATTATAACAGTGGGTTAATCGATTGGGGTTTCCCCGCGTTGGTTCGAACTCCATCCCTGTCGCCACTATAAATGCTAAGTTGAAAAAGTTAATTGTTACGTGAGAATTGATGTTTGTTGTAGGTTAAACATTCAATACTATCTATCCTAAGGTGGACTATTTTCTATATTTTTGTAATAAATCTAGATATCCAATTTAGGATATTTTTATATAGTTTTTATTATAATCATTTAATTGATATATGTCTTAGCATTTCGGAATTATCGTTGCTCAACTACTCATGATACATTAAACCTGTCAAAACTCAACCAACTGATAAGTGCATGCTATTCGACAACTAGGGAGCTTTAATTTCTAACGGATCTATATGCATATATGATTCAGTTTAGCCTAATTTCACTTCTCGACCTCTGTCATTCCTCTCGAGTAGCTGGACCCATTTCTGAAAAGTGTGCATACCAATACCAACTCACAGAAACCACACGTTACGAATATTCACTTATAATACTTGTTTGTAACAATTCTGATCTAGTTGTATGCTTATTAATCACCTTTCCTTATTTGTGATGCTGTATGATTATGTAATTAATGTATATAATTTTGGGTCAAATAGATTAAGAGAAACAATACTGCAATTACAATTCGATCAAATGTTTAATGGAAAATTATATTGTGTAAAAAATCATTAATAAGACGTAATAAAGAGGGATGAATACGAATTAAATGAATCATGTATTGAGGAGATTACCAATGATATTTAATCAATAGCAATAACAATAACAATAATAGTAATAGGATAAACCTGAAGAAGTCCAGACAAGTTTGTTGGACGAAACATTGGAATTATTTTATATTTCAATCGCTGAGATTATTTCAAATATAATTTTCACATAATTAATAATGCAAAGATTTGTGAATAAAGATAACAGAGACAATTAAATTTGACTACGAAAGGTCGTAATTACAATAGTCAAATCGGGTCATTCAATAGCTAAGATTACTATGGATTAATTGGCCTTGAGGTTGGCCAGGGGAGGAGGAGCGGTTGAAGATATTTCTTTTGTATGCGTAGCTCAGGTCTCTACATTCGGATGGCTACTGCTTCAGTCGTTTGAAGAACTTTAAGTCTGACAAGCGCCGGCAAAAACATTACTGACCCGGTAAATAATTGAAAAGGATTGGTTCATACTGGCACTATGACCAGTTTGCACTAAATGGGTCAATATCGAGCTGTTCACTTTCTTCACCAGACTTTTGCTTAACCACACTGGGAGGTGTTCGCGAGCACGAAAATGTAAATTCATGAAACTTCGACCAATATAACTCGCTCCACAGAAACAGTCGAACTGATAAATACAAAATGAGGTAGTTGTTGTGACTTTAAGTCCGGCTTTTATCACGTAATCTCTTCGCCAATCGAAATACCACTTATTCACTCTTGTACTGTACTAAACCAGTGACTCTCGACCGAACTGATCGGTCCAGCGTCCTTATTGGCATCGTAGAGAACACTAATCGTAGTTCTCCGGAGTTGAAAGATTTTTGTATTGCTCTGCGTAATCTCTTAGTTAATATTTCGCTAGCCACATCCTCCTCTAAATTGTAGACGCATGAACAGGGATTTCTTTTACATCTTCATGAACATATATTTAATTATAAACTTTCTAGGGTAACCATTCTCCCCAAGAGTATTATGCAAGCTGTTAAGCTCATATTCAAATATATCCGTAGAACATATAGTGCGTATTCGGTAACTAAGGGTTTTGATCAGGTTTCGTTTGTACTGTGGAGGTACAAAGCTAAGGAAATGCGTATAATGCTGAGTCCAGGTATTTTTCTGTTTAAATTCCTTTTTAATGATCCATCCGCTCTCTTAGTTAAGAGAACGTCCAAAAAGGCTATTCGGCCATCACTCTCTTCTTCAGATGTAAAATCAATGCCTGGATGCACTTCATTAAACTGTCTAAGAACCTCTTGTTGTGATGTATTATCTTTACAGAGGATGAACGTGTCATCTATGTATCTACAGTAAAATGTGAAGTTTTGAATAATCTTTTTTAGTGGACCATTTTCTAGTTTGGCTAGAAAAATATCAGCTAGTATAGGGTCTAGTGGTGAACCCATTGCAACACCATCTGTTTGTCTATATATTTCTCCGTTGAGCTTGAAATCCACATTCATGATACATTTGAGTAATAACTCTTTCACGACATTAATAGGAACTGTAGTTTCAATTTCATTTCAATCAGCTGTTCACCTATATATTTTACAGTCTCTATGAGTGGGACGTTTGTAAATAACGATGTTACATCCAATGACGTCACCTTTAGTTCAAACGTATTTGCATTTTTGATTTTATCAACAAATTGGAACAAATCATTAACACTATATATTACAAGCTTTTCGTGAAGAGGTTTCAATACAGTTACTAACCATTTAGCTATAGTATGTGATATGATGGAACGAAAAGCCAATTTTCGATTGAATTACTCATTATGCGTTTTGTTCAATAGTACTTCCCTTCTAATTCAATGTGATGATCATTCAGTGTAGTATTTGATTTGTTTTCTCAGTATGATATTTTCTTCTGTATAATAAACGAGATATTCTTGTATTCCATTAACATAAACTATGCTCAGTAAGTGATTTGTTATAACTGAGTATGTGATCTATTCCTAATTATTAATCAAAATGGGTGTACAATCAATATATAAATGAGTGTATTTTAGACTATTAGGATTCGATTCGTCGTTGTCATAGTGTTTTGGGGCTAATAAATCATCACTTAAACCGGTCTTGGGTTCTTACTTTCGCATCGTGGGAATTTTAGGGATCCCTCGTTCCGAATATAAGTGATCAGCGCTTTTCCGGCACAGCGATCAGCGACGACCGAACACAATAGTATGGTAAGGAGAGTTGTCCCTGGTTTGTGTACCATTTCTCCAGCCTCTCATCCTTCCCTGGCCCTAATTCCCTTAATGGGTATGTTTCTAGGTGTTTATTTTTAATGCACTTTTATTATTATCTATATTTTAAATTACTATTTTGCATTTTAAACTCTAATCATTTATTATTATTACCTTTTACAAGTTTTTTGATTATTATTCAGTCTATTATTATGACCTTTTATGTTTTGTCGTTTTTCTTCATATCTGTCAGTTGGACTATTATCTGACCCATAAATCTTGTTCTTCCTTACCCCTTGATTAGTACGTTAACCTCATTTGTTATTTATTGTCGAATCCATTTTTGTGATACAATCCATTCTATCCTTCTATAGACATACATTTTCCATATAACTATATATACGAATGTACAGCTTAAGTAAATGATTTCGTCGAAAAGAAAATTTTCTTCGCTGAATTCTTCTTTTTCTTATTCAATGACGCTATGGGTTATTTTAATTATCTTAAAAGTGATTATATTGAAAAAAATGAGTACAATCTTACGTGGCAAATTAAAGTTTCAAAAAATAACTGACCAGAAAGATTTGAATAATAAGATAGAGAAAGAGCTTACCAGATCTTTGAAGAAGCTCAGGGACCAACAGGCTAGCTCATCGGGTTTATATGAAATGATTAAAACCAGTGGAAACCTATCTGCCGAGATTGTATGAATTGCCAATGGTACACAAACCAGGGACAACTCTCCTTACCATACTATTGTGTTCGGTCGTCGCTGATCGCTGTGCCGGAAAAGCGCTGATCACTTATATTCGGAACGAGGGATCCCTAAAATTCCCACGATGCGAAAGTAAGAACCCAAGACCGGTTTAAGTGATGATTTATTAGCCCCAAAACACGACGACGAACGATGATCAAAATAGTCTAAAATACACTGGTTTATATATTGATTGTACACCCATTTTGATTAATAATTAGGAATAGATCACATACTCAGTTATAACAAATCACTTACTGAGCATAGTTTATGTTAATGGAATACAAGAATATCTCGTTTATTATACAGAAGAAAATATCATACTGAGAAAACAAATCAAATACTACACTGAATGATCATCACATTGAATTAGAAGGGAAGTACTATTGAACAAAACGCATAATGAGTAATTCAATCGAAAATTGGCTTTTCGTTCCATCATATCACATACTATAGCTAAATGGTTAGTAACTGTATTGAAACCTCTTCACGAAAAGCTTGTAATATATAGTGTTAATGATTTGTTCCAATTTGTTGATAAAATCAAAAATGCAAATACGTTTGAACTAAAGGTGACGTCATTGGATGTAACATCGTTATTTACAAACGTCCCACTCATAGAGACTGTAAAATATATAGGTGAACAGCTGATTGAAATGAAATTGAAACTACAGTTCCTATTAATGTCGTGAAAGAGTTATTACTCAAATGTATCATGAATGTGGATTTCAAGCTCAACGGAGAAATATATAGACAAACAGATGGTGTTGCAATGGGTTCACCACTAGGCCCTATACTAGCTGATATTTTTCTAGCCAAACTAGAAAATGGTCCACTAAAAAAGATTATTCAAAACTTCACATTTTACTGTAGATACATAGATGACACGTTCATCCTCTGTAAAGATAATACATCACAACAAGAGGTTCTTAGACAGTTTAATGAAGTGCATCCAGGCATTGATTTTACATCTGAAGAAGAGAGTGATGGCCGAATAGCCTTTTTGGACGTTCTCTTAACTAAGAGAGCGGATGGATCATTAAAAAGGAATTTAAACAGAAAAATACCTGGACTCAGCATTATACGCATTTCCTTAGCTTTGTACCTCCACAGTACAAACGAAACCTGATCAAAACCCTTAGTTACCGAATACGCACTATATGTTCTACGGATATAATTGAATATGAGCTTAACAGCTTGCATAATACTCTTGGGGAGAATGGTTACCCTAGAAAGTTTATAATTAAATATATGTTCATGAAGATGTAAAAGAAATCCCTGTTCATGCGTCTACAATTTAGAGGAGGATGTGGCTAGCGAAATATTAACTCAGAGATTACGCAGAGCAATACAAAAATCTTTCAACTCCGGAGAACTACGATTAGTGTTCTCTACGATGCCAATAAGGACGCTGGACCGATCAGTTCGGTCGAGAGTCACTGGTTTAGTACAGTACAAGAGTGAATAAGTGGTATTTCGATTGGCGAAGAGATTACGTGATAAAAGCCGGACTTAAAGTCACAACAACTACCTCATTTTGTATTTATCAGTTCGACTGTTTCTGTGGAGCGAGTTATATTGGTCGAAGTTTCATGAATTTACATTTTCGTGCTCGCGAACACCTCCCAGTGTGGTTAAGCAAAAGTCTGGTGAAGAAAGTGAACAGCTCGATATTGACCCATTTAGTGCAAACTGGTCATAGTGCCAGTATGAACCAATCCTTTTCAATTATTTACCGGGTCAGTAATGTTTTTGCCGGCGCTTGTCAGACTTAAAGTTCTTCAAACGACTGAAGCAGTAGCCATCCGAATGTAGAGACCTGAGCTACGCATACAAAAGAAATATCTTCAACCGCTCCTCCTCCCCTGGCCAACCTCAAGGCCAATTAATCCATAGTAATCTTAGCTATTGAATGACCCGATTTGACTATTGTAATTACGACCTTTCGTAGTCAAATTTAATTGTCTCTGTTATCTTTATTCACAAATCTTTGCATTATTAATTATGTGAAAATTATATTTGAAATAATCTCAGCGATTGAAATATAAAATAATTCCAATGTTTCGTCCAACAAACTTGTCTGGACTTCTTCAGGTTTATCCTATTACTATTATTGTTATTGTTATTGCTATTGATTAAATATCATTGGTAATCTCCTCAATACATGATTCATTTAATTCGTATTCATCCCTTTTTATTACGTCTTACTAATAATTTTCCACACAATATAGTCTTCCATTAAACATTTGATCGAATTGTAATTGCAGTATTGTTTCTCTCATACTTTCTGATCCATACTTATTCCGATCCTGCACCTTAAGTTTCCACTTAACATATTAGTGGTGTTGTAGTGAAGAGTACAGTATTGATGATCAAGCGAACGTATCCGATGCAAAATTACAGTCTTTGTTAATATAATCTCGGAATCATCTAGTAATTTCTTAATTTGCAAAATGTGTATCAATTGTATCACAATGACTCAAACTTCTTTGTTCTTGCATTTTTATACAAATTGCATTCTGTTTCCATTCTTAACTGTTATATCCTCTTGTCCTTCTTCTACCACACTTTCCGTTCACGACTACTTATGTCGATATAAGTAGCACACATCACAATTTTCGTTAACATTTTATATCGGTCATGTTAACATTAACTATTTTACTATTCATAATTTTTTTTTGAGTCGGGGTTTATAGTTCATCTTTCCAATCGATGATTGAGATAGAGAAATTTAGGTCGACCAATTATTGTGTACCAGTGATATAAAGATGAAACAAAGCGAACATATTAGTAAATAGCATTATCGATTTACTTGGTCATTTAGCGCTAATAAAAATATTCACGATGCACAGTAGTCTTAGTTGAAAGACTTCTCAATTAATCAAATCTATTAACATGTTCTTCATTTCGTTAATCTGTAATTTTTTCTCATTTAAATACCTGATGAAAACATAAACTTTACAATCTTCACCTTGTTGTGCTAATGAGGTGTGGTAACTTGGACCGACGCATACATGTGCCTGGTCCTACGTTGCTCCTGACTGACTAACTTTATCTTTTTATCTTCCAAGAAATATACATTGTTTATTCTACGAATACAAGTTTCGTATTAACATAACCTTATTCCAACTAAATAATGGGGAAAAAAGTGAAAATTTGTATTTCTTTATTGTTTATTTCAGGGATAAAAGTGTAGCTAAACAGCGTGAATTAATGCAGTCATCTGATAAAACACATGGAGAAAATAAACCTAAATGGGTTAGTAATATGCGAGCATGTGTTTTTTTCTCTTAACTGTTACATAAAATCTATTATTCATTTATTTGTATACGCTTTGTTCTAACTTATGGACGCTCACTAATATTACGTGACAGAGCCATTAACCAAAATATTGATTTCCATTACTTCATCAAGGAGTCAACCAACACTAGTAACCTTGAGTGACTGTTAATTTGATATCGGTTATCAACCCTCAATAACTTCTCTCTTTGCCCTTCCTGTTGAATCCAGAACACAGTATTCATCCTCCACTGTATGAATAATATATATCAAACGTACGTAGTTTAGATATAAACAGACCAGATCTCATCACAAACCATAAAGTGAAAAATACCAGTTATACAAGTTCAATGACTCAAAAGTGACTGTTAGTACAGGAGATTGTAACTACATGATTGAGAATAACTTAAGAATAGTAAATCGTATAACAGTAGTTAATGGGTCAAATGAAAGTAGCTTATGATAAATGCAGTTATAAAGATATGATAATCTGATTACTGAGTAATTTTGTTAGAAGAGTATATACCATAATAGTTCATAAATTCTGCTGATGTTTTAAAGCCTAAACTTTTGAGCTGTAAGATTTTATGTTTTAGATTTGTTTTAATTAACTAATTAAGTCTGTTGGCAGTGTGTATGTGATCTGCATGATGTTATTAAAGGATGTACAACTTATCGTGAATCTCATTACTGAAATAATGTAGAAGTACGTTCACTGTGAATTCGTATGTTTTTATTGGTATAACGGCGTAATTTAAATATTTCTATTTATATGCCACGTCATACTACTTTAATACCATAATGCAACCTGTTAACGAGACTATACTTCCATTAGACTGCATACTCGATCAATACTGTATACACATACTGGAGTTACGTAGCACTAAATCATTCACAACCAAAAATAGAGAAACAGTTTATGTGCCAGATAAAATTTTATTCAGCACAATTACAAACTTCCAAATGCCATGGTACGGTCGAGAATGGGGATGAGGTTAAGTCAGCTCTACCTCTCAAAAAGGTTCTCACATGGACACGTGGATACAGCCATTGTCAAGGAAGTTCTAGTTACTACCTTCTCTCAATGAGGGTGTTGTTTACGAGATTGAGAGGACGAAAAGTGAAGCTCTGGCGCTTTAAACGGGTTGGTGGACACGGATGGTCCACCTAGAGGAGTAGGGAAACCCTGATTTAGAATCAATGGTGTACATGGGCTCCAGTATCCTGAGGGAACAAATGGCGTATGAACTTATTGTTGGCCACCGGTTACCACGGAACTGCATCTCCCTACGTTGCTCCACTGTTTTGTGGATTAGACCTCTAGGTCAAATACTTGGAGAGTGGCCTCCTAAGAAAACCGTCTTATTCGGGTTGGGCTCCCCGTCATTATCCCAGTCCCCACACACTGAAAGACAAAGTGTGGAGCATAAATATTCTTTGCCCTTTTGTACCAATGTCCATGCGTTTAACTAGATAACTAACAAACTGCCTACGGTTAATGAGTTCAGAATAGGAAGGAAATTACAAAGTAAGCAGTCAGTAGTATGTATCTAACTCTGCACACTCTGATCAACCACAATTAAATGTCATTTTTCTCGTCCGATTACTATAAGATTTATACATCAAATGTACTCACCAATAGATGTCAAAGGAGCAAAAATGTTGGTTAACATTTATGAATCAATATGAATGGTATTAGCTAATCACTTAAAGAAAATATTATTACAATGCTTACTATAATTAAATTTTACAAATAATTATATGAGCTGTGTTATATATTAGTAAAGTTCTTGTCGTTTGGGTACAATTCAAATCTGGATTACATTCGTAAGGGTAGGTTTTAATAGAAATAGTTGGTTATTAATCATTCCGTTCAGATAAGTTTAATAAAGACAGCGTGTTGGTTTTAAGAAAATTAGCTGTTTGCTGAATGCTAAGCTCAAATCTTCACGCTAAACAGTTTGTGTAATTGTTAATGCTTATATAATTATGTTGTAGCAAGATTCTATTGACGTCTGGTCCTCTGGGCTGATGAGCGTTAGCTACCAAGTCCTTTGGTACTGCTGAGGTTGACCTGCTTCGGTTTGGGCACCCGGGCAGTATCCCAGCCCTCACACATATCGAATGAGATTTGTGTGGCGTATATGTATTTGGTGCCTCCTTGTACCAATATATATGTGTGCTGAGGTTGGAGAGAGTCTGCTCTCTCTCAAAATACTGTCATAGTCATATCCTTACATCCATTGCCAGACAATCCTAGTCCTTACGTCCACGAAATAAGGGTGTTATTTGTGAAAAATAAAGTATGGAAAGTAAGTGGAGTTGGTTCATACAGAGGATCCACCTAAGAAGTAGAGTTGGTATAATCTGTTAATGAACTAAAGTTGTACATGAGCTCCAGGATTCTCAACTGAAGAATATTATTTGAACTTGTTTGTGGTTATGGAATATCGTGTTACTGGATCTCCTGATGTTGCCCCATGGCTTTATATATTAAAGCTCCGGGTAAAAATGTTCGATTAGTAGTCTACTAATAGAATCACTTGTTTCGTTGGCATCTTAACCTACATATAAATTTTATTTCATCTGACGATTATTACTGTTTGTTCTCAGTTGTATCAGGTTTTATTCGGATTAAATTAATATACACTGTTTAGTACATTAAAAGAATGTTTTCCTTAGATTATTTATCTAAATATTTAATACTATCATTCTATGTCTTTATCGATCCTGTCGTTACGTGTTTTCTTTACCCTACAGTTAATTAAAAAGGAAAAAAATAAAGCATGGATTGCCAAAAAGAAACGAGCACGTAAAATTAAAGCATTAAAGAAACAACATTTAGTTAATGAATCTTCGCACCCGGAAATCTGTGAAAAGAAGAATAAGGAGATAATAGAAACTAAACAGGAGAATAATGTAAAAGATATTGATGAATTACTTGTCGATTATAGATTGTTAAAGAAATCGTATAAGGGGAAGGTATGTAGGTTTGTGTTACATTTAGTAGTTTATTTTCATGTCCATATTATTTAAGAATAAACTACTAATTTATTTCTCATCACAAGTATCTAACAAGACATTTTACTTATGAGAAATCGAATAAACTTGTAGGATTCAAGTTTAAGATTGGTATTAATACGTCTACCCAAAGTGTTAGAATAATAGATCTAACCTAAGGTTGTTCACTTAACATGATGGAACGCAATCTCACGCCTAAATCACTTCACTAACTGTACCGGCTCACCCCATTCTGGTAATTATCTTTATTGTTTATAAAAACTTTTGAATAATACAGTTAGGCTGGTGATAGAACAATATATTTATTATAAAGAGAGATTAATAGCAAACAAGCTAGAGAGGTCAATTCATACAATTTTGTTAATTTTCCTCGCATGGACTTTTTTGACCATTATTTTTCATCAAGTATTCAACGGCCAGTGTAAGTCTTCAAAATTAGTGTACTTTTTTCTCTAAGGGTGATTTATGGTAACGACTAAGTGTTATTCCATTTTCACTACAAACAACTGTGTGACAACCTTTGCACATCCTGTAAGACTAACAGATATGGTCTGTAAATGTAATTTGAGTAGTTGTACTACAGGTAGTTAAAAATTGTACTTTGATAACTAAAAAAGGGGAACAATTAACAAGTGGTGTGTATGCGCACTATTGTAACGGACGCTATTCACGAATAAGTTTGTAAGTAGGGTGAAGCGGAACGTGGCATCGAAGTTGCAACAATTGTCAGACGAAATGAAGAGTTTCAGGGCATCGAAAGCACGACGCTAGCGAAGCACACTGAAAGATGGAAAAGGACGATGTTTATTATGTAAGTACTTTGTGACTTCTCACAATGAAGATACATTCCTATTGCCTTATTTTACACTATCTCTGGAAATTTTAATAGGTTTTAGAAGGGTTTATTATCTAACAATTGGTCACTATACTCAGTTGCCTCAACCTCTTTGTTCGCCTGCATCAGAGTACATGAAATCATTTATTTACACACACGCTTTAAAAGTGATAAGTGTTCGATACCGTGAACAGAAAAATAAAATATGTCTGTAAACTTATTGTTCGTTTGGGTTGTATAAGAATCAGTATATAGCTTGGTAAAATAGGTAGATAGGTAGCTTAATTCATTATAGCCAATATAATTGACATAAATAAAAAAAACTCTCCATTTCGCTCTAATTATTGATCTTCACTTGATTTGTAGTCGTACTTCTCTTGTTTCTCTTTGCAGTTTCCTACATAATTTTTTTATTTGTTTCCACTTGTTCGTTGTTGTTTTTAAATCTACAAACTTGATAGGATTTTGCATTGTGTGTCGGACTTTGCTTTGATGCCCATGGTTATCTAGTCTTGAGTTAATTACTTAGTTGTAAATCTACTAATTAAATGATCAAGTTTGTTTTCTAAGCTGTACGATCCGAAATATATCTGTAATAAATTCAAAGTCAATATATAAATTATATGTTTGTCTAGCCCTCCGCCAGACCTGAGGGTTCTGGATCTGATTCTCAGTGAGATCGTAAATGCACACTTTTGTGATGCCTCAGACTAATCTCCATCTAATGCTTTCTATTTTGTATAGTTATTCCAACTAAGTTCTGTTTGTGTTATGAAGCTGTGTAATTTAACAATTCCCAGAAACTTATAGAAGAATAATAATCATGCGATTACTAGTGCCCAGTTTTATGAGGTTATTTTCAAAGTTCATGTGAAAGTTCGTTATCGATAGAGTTTAACCATGTTGAGTATGTGAGACAGTCGCAATATAGAAGAGAATGTGAGATAATTGTGTAAAATCGCAAATTGCATGCTTATTAGAATTGCAATATAATCAGTTCTGTTCACTAATTGACTAGATAGTTCTAAGTGTATGGTTATAGTAAATGAAGGATTATGAGTTGTAAGAACTGTGTTATATCTCTGTCTATATAATAAATTTTGGAAATGTTTCTGGACTATTCCCTAATATGCGTAGGCAGTAATGTCATCAGCACTAATTTGAATTTAATAGATATTTTATTTTTGGTATTTGTAGATCAAGGAAAAGTGATTAATAACTTCTACTGATATACTCGTCATGCCACAAGGAAGAAACAAATTGGAATTTGCCTTTTAAGCCACTAACACCTTTCTGTATATGTTCATTGACTATCAAATACCTAGCCTTTTGTAAATAAAAGAATACTTATACCATATATTAAATGTTAACAAAGACATATTTTGGCGTATCTTTATTTTTTATTGTAAGTCTTTTTATACTGCAGGTTTATCCGCGTATCGAGCTTCCGGAAATCTGAGACTGTGGGGTTCTTCAACCGTCATGAATTTCCTAAATTAGACGGAAAACATTCTAAAATGCTGCAAGGATGTCCAGGTCTATTTCACTCCTGTCTCTTTACTCTCTCTCTTCAAAAGTTTATTAGTCAATAGTAGAATACTCTTTGGCCAGTGATAAAGTTATTACGTCAAAAACTAATGTGTTAATATATCAATTATAAATTATACGCACAATAAAAATACACAGGACGTTACTTAAATCGTCAGAGATTGGCGTGTTTGAATTTCTGTCGGTCCGGTAATACACAATTATAAGTAGTTAATAATTCTAATTACGAGATGCATATCCAGATATAGCATATAAAGAGAATATCACTGAGATAGCAAATATATTGGAGTTCTTGTTGTGACTTTCGCCGGGCTAGCTATCATGTGACTGATTCGCCAATCAGAATACAACCTATGCTATCTTAACACCGGCACAACTATGACGTATCGACCGGTATTAGCAACCCAGCGTCCTTATTGGTCATTTTTCTGACAAGCCCTGTCTGTTAAGTTCAGAACGCCAATAACAACTTCCACTGTACGAATCATTTATTCCAGGCGTGCTTGGTTTATATACAGGCAAACAAGACCACATCATGCCATAATTAAAAAATGACAATTGTACAAGATCGAGACAAAAATTGGTTATGATTGTGAGAGACTGTAATTATTAAACTGGGGATAGTCTGTAGGTCAAAATAAAGCTTATAGTGAGAGTGCCGAATTATGGTCTACTGTGATATTAGTACTACTCTAATAATAGACTTAATCCCAAAATTATAGGTTTGTCATGATATAACTGCCTAATCTATGAGATCTTACATGGAAGTATTATTATTATGTACACCAACTCATCGCGTCGTAACAATCATCAATATATGATGAACACGCTAAGGCTAGAAATAGAACAATATGTTTAATATGAATAGAAGATCATGTTACAACACTTGGGAGTGACTACGCCTGCAAGGCCAAGCCATGCCGTCAATCCTGAATGGTGAACACGAGACAGTTGGAAAATACATTCTCAACATTTAACGCGGATAAATCTCAACGATGGAGAAGGCGGGAGTAATTGGTTGGACTGCATGAATTGGCCCATTATTAGAGTAGTACTAATATCATAGTAGACCACAATTCTAAGACTTTTTCAGAAGCATACTTAGAACAGCCATTAGACAAACAAAAAGCAGGAGCGGCCCACGTGACCTGGAAGCTCGTAATTAAGACCTGTATGGTACAGTCGAGCTACAAGGGAATTACTTCTTATTCGCCATATCTCTCATAAACCTCCTCACATCAAGATATCGCTAAATCGATTTAGTATTGTGCTGCTCCTGAGAGGACATCCATGGGAAATATAATGCGAATCACTTAAATGTAGAAATCATTACCTGAGGCCATAGTAGCGGAATAGAACTCATTACTACATATCAACTTCCATAGTTATAAGAAAGCATTTGACAGTGTGGATAGAAGAACATTATGGAAGCTTCTACGAGTCTACGTAGTACTTCAGAAGATTGTCAAAATCATACGGAATTTAGACGGAGGACAACAGTGCGAAATCGTGCATGAAGGACAGCTGGCAGATGCATTCCACGTAACGACCGGAGTCAGACATGGATGCCTACCTTCTCCTTTTCTTTCTCAGGTCGGCTGGATTATGATGACCTCTACATCTCGAAGGAATCAGGGGATATAATGGATAGCGTGCGTGCAACTATATAGCACTTTATATTACCGATTACTGGGAAGCAGGAGTGGTTTGAAACAATAACACAACAGTCTGGACCTCTAAAGTAAGAACGCGACGTATTGACACAACAGCTATATATTTGAAAATTAAAAGACGTGGTTTGAGCACAAAAAGGGAAAACTTATTACAAAATTGTTCTATCCACCGTTCTGTAGGTTCAGCTTACGTAGAGCTTGTTACTCACCTTCCAGTAGATTAACTCTTTGTTGCCCTGCAATAAGAAAAACAGAGTCGTATTAGTAACGTCAAGTGTTATGTTTTTTGCTACTGTTACCACTAGACGATTTGGACTTTGCAGACGACCTAGCCGTTCTATATCATATACACCAACACATTCATGGGAAGACAGCCACTGTAGTAAAAGCCCCTGCATCAGTATGCCTCAGTACACACAAAAACCTGGATCCCAAAATACTTCTCGGAGAACACCAAACCAATCACACTTGATTGAGAATCTATGATGATAGCGGAAATTTTCACGTTCATCGTCATCGATGAACAAGGACTATCTGACGCACATGTAAAGGCAAAGATTGGCAAAGGAAGGTAGGCATTCCTACAGTTAAACAACATATTGAACTCAAAACAATTTTCGACCAACATCAAAGACACAATCTTCAATACGAACATCAGGACAGTTCTACTGTACGGGGCCGAAACTGTTGTACATCACTGGCGTGATAACGCAAGTTTGCAGTCTCGTCGAAACTTATGGGGAGGCAGACATCCTTCCCACTATCCTCACGATCGTCCACACGAACCGATCTTTAAACTGTGGGCAGCAAATATGAGAGGGATCGCTATATAAGGTAAGCGATGTGGTTATCATAGCGTTTATCAAGGCAAAACCACTTACTGGACTATCGTTGCTGCAAACGTTTCTATGCCAATCACCGATTTAAACCTGTTACAACACCATAATCCAAACAAACAGAATCTATGGGACACAAACACTAAATTATCTGTTCTCAAAACTTTATTTTGTTTGTAGTTCATCCCCAGTCACGTTTAAGTACATAATCTATCCACACTTCCAACAGGTGCTCAACAAGAGACCTGAACTACACAAAATGCGACTAAAACTACCATGTTTAACCAGCAACGTTACACAGCACATCACAACTACACGACCAACTGTATTTTCGAAATATCGACGAACATCTCCTGAAAAGCTAAAGTCGTCCAAAAATGAATTAAAGCACATGATAGATGTGGGGTTTGTTTGGCCATCTAACAGTCCATGATCATCCACCTTGCACTTGGCCCCTAAAAATGAAAGCAACTATTGGCCTTCAAACTGATGATTATCGGCCACTTAATACGGAAACCACTCCCTATCGTTATTTTTTGCCGCACATCCAAGAGCGATAGCTATCTTTAAAGTAGCAATTGTTTCCTCAAAAACTGATTCGGTTAAAGCACATAACAATATTCCTTTGGCCGCAGATGACATTATTTCGTCAATCCCTCAAGATTCTTCAAATTTTTGCGCAAATGGTTAGTTAGTATATAAAATTGGTATGTCTGAAATATACGATCCGTACAATGGTAGCTGGGATTGCTCTCTTGACTCAACGAACTTGGCTAGTCGCAAAGGACCAATAGGGATTCACAGTTTGTACATCACTAACGTAGACGACCTACGTCGAATGATTGGGGTCCTGCTCTGGATAAACGGGAATAGTGTGACGAACCAGCTGACTTCGAAGTCACAGCTCGCAGTCATCATCTAATGTGATACTATGGCTGCTTTGAAGACCGTATAGTACAAACGACGTTATTACAGGAATATATTAGTTAAAATAGGTACAAGTGAAAGTGTGACCATTACTGTATAAGCCAGTCCATGGAGTTAAAATAGTTGATGCGAGTTGGTTGTATCTGACCTTGACGGGGATTGATGAACTGCTCAACATTCAGCAAACCACTGCCGGATGACTTGTCTAGGGCTCAGTGATATTTCACTGGCCCTTCAAGTTAACATGAGGTTGCCGGTGCTGTTGCAACGTGTCAGTGGTTCTCGCAAAAGAACAGCGTCATATAATTCAGTGTTCGTAATGGTCGTTTTGTCACGTGAAAATTGACAGGATTAAAATTCATAACAGTAGCCTTGTTTCGTATAACTTCCCTGAATTGTTTCAAATTAGTCCACCAAATCGTGACGAAACATTATTTATTGTACAAACATTCTCATCCAGGAGTTCGAGCGGCCATCAAGATCAATGCAGAACTATTTTGTTGGTTTGATATGAATGAAGATATGGGGGCACGTTTCTATGTAGGCTCCCAGAAACCTTAGGTGATTAGACCAACAAACGTCCCCTAAGATATTTCGGAACTCTTGATGGTCGTTTCGACCACGTTCACCTTGATTTTGTGTGACCCTTACTTGATTTAAATGGGTGAACTTATATCTGAACGTGTGTTGACCGTTTCGCACTTTAACCAGAAGCAGTACCTACCGGGAAAATTACGACTAGGACAGTGACATACGAATATGTCGAACGATGAACAGCGAACTTTGGCTGCCCTCGAGCTATCACTACAGGCCATGGATTCCAATTCGAATTCGGACATTGCGTAACGTTCCGTTTTATCTTAGTCTTTGAACCCCACAGTTATTTGGTTGTATTCTGTTTTGTTTATAATATTTTGTCGAAAAATAGTCTTTTAATGATATGCTTACATATTCAAAAGAACCTTTTTGTGCAGACATTTATGTGCAAATATACCATGTATTTTTTCAAGTGTATTTTTACACGCACTTAAAATTGAGCTGACCTCGTTAGTTTTACTGGTCACAAAGTGGCTAGAGGCGCTCGGGCACGCATCCGCACGAATGACTGCATCTTGCTACGTATCCCTTACAACTACCAGCCGAATGTGGTATACATATATAATTCGAGATAGTGCACATGAGGAATAGTCAAGAATGAGGATATCTATAGGATATATGGGTGTAGATAGTTATTAAATTATTAATGTCTTTATATGGCTGCTGATTAAGCGGGAACAAGAAGTCATCAGTCTTCAGTAGTAAGGATAGCAGGTCTTTTATCACAGCTGATTGTTGGCCTTTCGCCATCGATGATAAAAAAAACACTTAGCTAAAACATTTTGATAAGGCGTTAGCCTTTGTGACAACATTTCTTGTCAGTGTCGACGGGTTTTTCGTATCAAAGTGTTGGGATTTCATCGTTTCTCTGAGTTCGCCTTTTTGTTTACGAGAAAAACCTTTTGTACTGTCTTCATAATCTTTAAACAATTGTTTTTGATATGAGTGTCGAGCTTTATTTATCAAGGCTTTCTAAGCGTCCCTAGTTTTACAGTAAATGCATCTGTACTGTCCAGAGACTGCAATAATAAACATATTCCATTGCTTTTCGCTACCTCCAAGAAGCCTCTTGACCTACTTTGTTATCCACAGTGGACAGTTATTTGGTCTAAATGGTACTAATTATGGTATGAACTGTGACATAGCTAAACTAGGTGTACCTTTAGATATAGACCATCTTTCACGATGTGATTTAACGGAAGGTTTCATGGTTTCTCTGATCCTAGGATTACCTTAGGGAATCTATAAAGTCGGGGTTCAACAATTTGTTCTGTCCTATTTATTCTTATCGAACTTTTGATCTGAACTTCTATAGAGTCATCTGGTAAGATGCTACGAATAAATGCTCCGATCTTTTCTAAAACACGCGAATCTCTTATTTTTGGATCAAAACCGTTTAGTTCTAGCATACTATTTACGATAATTTTCGATGAGAACAAGGTTTTTCAGTCACGCTAGGGTTTAGCTCAGCCCTGCCTTGGAAATTTGGCGGTGTATTCTATGAGGAAGAATGGTAGTGTATCAAAGACTTACCAACCAAACTGGTGCTGTTCATGGCTTTTATCTTTAGCATCTTTATCTTCACACGGCAATCTTTCCCGTCACTCAGTACAGACATGTCGGAACTATTGGAGACAGTGAAGGTTTTATCCGGGTCCTCAAGTGCTACTTCAACTCGTAACTACCAACATTTAGTGTCATTCCACTCTTTGTTTGTTTCAGGGGAGAATTTACTTCTCGGTGCTTCGCAGTCGAGTGTTTGGCTCATCATATAGCAACACCTACGACACTGACACAGTTTGTTGTCAGTACCTATGTTAACGATGTAGCCACTGTCAACCTTCTCGCAGACCAAAACCAGAAGGTTCATCGGCTCCCTGATCAGCAATTTAGCACTTGAATAGCAAAATATACAAACCCAACCGTAGTTAGGCTTCGAGTAACATTTGTTACTGGAGGGACTGACACGGGTTTACATCTAGTAGAACCACATTTTACACTCATCGCATTGAATTTCTTTCATCCGCAAGGACAAATGATCTGTTCACACTTTTAAGTACAGCTGACCATTATTAACAGATTAAACATGTAGAAAGAAGGACAAAAACACAATATAATCAATAGTGTGAGAATCAAATACAAGGGCACTACAAGACGGATTGGAAGAAAATTTCAAACCTTAACCTAAATAATTCAAGTTGAAGTAGACCAAGGATGTTTTGGATGCAACAAATACACAAAAATAAGGTTGATTTACGACAAGAACGAAACCACTGCCGTTTTGTAAAACGCGTGCGTTTGTTTTTTAAATTCATGGTTGACAATCCGTATCTCATACAAGAAAACAGCAAAGCTGCAAAGGAAGAGTCGAAGCTAAATTTGGACAATAATTCCGTAGACAGTAATAACGATTACACAAACAAAGTGGAATTCTGAAATATGTGGATAATAACAATGTCATCTACAACAGAAGTCTACAACAGTCGAAATTCCAAGGTTGTCTTTAGTCTTGTCAAGGTTCCGTAAAGTGGCTTTTTTGAATGTAAAAACTCACGCCTGTTTCATTTATTTCTGCCGATTGCTTTTACTATTCAATGTTATTATATCCAATTCTCTTGCTGAATCTTCAGCACAATTTTCATCCTGTTCTTCCTTCCAGATTATTTCATAAATTGCTCTTCACACTCCCTTACCATACAACACACATTAAGACAAGCTGCAGAACTACTGTCAAAAGCATTGAATTCTTATGGCTAATGATGTTTTGTCTTTGAGGTTGGAGTTACTCAGTGCCAAGTCCAGACTGGTTAACTATTTGCAGAATCATCATAATTTCCGGCCAGTTCAGAGAGAGTTTCTAGAGTTAGTGTCCGAATTCGAAATATTAAAACTAAAGGCTCAAGATATATATGGGATATCAAGAGAAAAGGTTTGTTATTATTGATCATATGAACTTATATATTCATTACAATCTTAAGTTTCTATTCTGGTGATATCACCTGAGTGAAACATACGCCCAGGCTTCCAACTTTGGGGAAAATTGAGTCCATTTTGGGGAAATTTTGGGGAAGCCGCTATAATAAATTTTGGGGAAATTTTGGGGAAATAAGAAAAAAAAACCCAAAATTTCCCCAGACCTGGGGAACTTTGGGGAAATTTTGGGGGAGTTTGGGGAAAATTCAATATACGAGTACAAAGCGTTTTTTTCCAGACTGTCCTCATACAAATCTGATACTTATTAGGCTCCACAAAGTTTGTCAAGAAAATTTTTATTGTCCATTGCTTTGGAATTTGCTAAATGTCTTGATGACTATTCGATTTTACATAAAAGTTACGTCCGGAAATAAGTGGGTCTTGTTTCTCAGTTTTTGTCCTTAAGTTCCTACGATACACTATCTTGAGAGACGTTTTTCATCTTCTCTTAGTCTTAAGCATGACTAATGTTAGCTGAGAAGCACTCTTTGCATTTTCGTTGTTAATGATCTTTGTTATCACGTGTAATCATAAACAAGACGATCTTTAGCTTTGACCCATATGTGGAAAATGCATATAAATGTTCCCTGTTCTAGCTCGGGAAATCCTTATTGGTTCTAAATGTCTTTTCTAAAGACGATTACGCCTCGTTCCATTAGACCCTTAAACTAGAGGTACTTCATGCTGTTCATGATATTTACTGATTATTATGAAGTCGGATATATAAATGAACTTTTCAGCTATGCCTACTAATTAAAAACGGCGGGACTCTAATTTATGGACGACCTTTCAACGAATCTTAAGTAACCTTGAAGCAACACACACACAGATATTGGTACAAGTAGGCTCCAAATACATATGCGCCACACAAATCTCATTTGATATGTGTGAGGGCTGTGATACTGCCCGGGTGCCCAAACCGAAGAAGTAACCTTGAAGGATATTAGCCAATCATCAAACAGTCAGTATAGGCTAAAAATATGTTATACAAAACCAAGGAAATATAGAGGTTCTAAAATCGTAATGCATGCAGTAGAGGAAATCATCCATACGGCTACAGAATAGTCGGCCTCTGGTGGCAACTCGAACTGATGTACGTACGTACGAAGTTCTACTTTGTGACTGACTGACTGAGTCGGCCTCTGGATCCATGATAAAGTCTCAAAATCTCTTTCAGCCTCAACCACATAGCTTCAATATTGTTTATGTGCACTCCGGTTGTTGAGTACACAAAATACCACTTGTGGACAACGACACGATGCACATAAAAAAGCCTATGTAGGAGTCTGTACGCTCTTTAATCATCTGTATATATTGTAGTAACTGGCTGCAGCCAGTGTTACTTGTGCTTTCATTATCCAGTTCGCGATAATTGACATAATTTGCTTCAGTTAGGAATTATATATGGGGTTTTCATCACGACATAAGCTATAATGCCAGAAATCTATTTAGCCAGATGGATGAAAGGCTTTCGCGTTAAAATCCGAGATCTGTTATCTTATACCTGATTGATTCGTCCACAAATTATAGTCTCGCCGTTTCATTTGTTATAGCCGCTCAATTATCATGTTTTGTACAAAATTCTTTGTGAACCTATCGTACGTTAGCATTAAGCACTGAAGTTGGCGCCATAACCTTGAAATCCTTCCAACGGCTCTAATTGGCTCGTCCATAAATTAGAGTCTCGCCATTAAAAACATTACATTATGGGGACCTCAGAATCTGCTTGTCCTTTATTAAGGTGAACTATTGTGTGTTGAAAGATGATTGATATTTTCATAACGAGTCTTGAATACTAAAAATTAATGCATACAACACGTGACAGTTTACCTATGTGTTCGTGTTTAATTCAATTTGTGTAAGGGTTGGAATGCTGCCCGATGACCGAAAATTGGTCCATACGCCATTTGTTCCCTCAGGATCCTGGAGCCCATGTGAACCATTTATTTGGAATCAGGGTTTTTCAACTCCCTTAGGCGGATCCTCCGTGTCCACCAACTCGGTTAAAGTCCCCATCGGACACTCGCTTTTCGTCTTCTCAACTTCGTGAACGACACCCCTATTAAGAGTAGTCAGTGAGTAGAACTTTCCTGACAGGCTGTAAATACGCGGCCATGTGAGAGCGTATGGGGAGGAAGAACGATTTTTATTTACTCTCGACCGTATCGAGGCAAATTACTGTCAAGCAAACTCCTACTGAAATTTGTTATGTGAAGGGCGCGATTTTGCGAACCTGACCATCTAATCTTAGGATATAACCTGTAGTATTAAGTTCAACAGACGTAAATAAATATACAAAAAACAGCTAGAAAATCTGTTGATATTTTTTACATGTTTATCATTTTTGCTACCATATCGGGGTACATAACTAAACATATTGGAAACGAAATTTCTTTTGTTTTTAAAGGTGATTGTCTCAATTTCAATTCTGTTCATTGCCTATCCATTTGTACCATTCTGATCACAAATGTTAGCATAATGAATCAAAAATTTAACGGTTTTTGTGCACAGAGCTACTTTAAATTTTTCAACATTTAATCTTCCCTCTAATATAATAGTTTCAAGTAGGTGAACCTCAAAAGTTTCGAAGCTCTCCACAGTAAAGGATCGGCTTAGTGGTCAAGGCGTTCGACTTTCAGCCACTGAGTCGGTCAGAACCCTGTTTCACCTGCCCCGACCTGGGCAATCGGTAGTACATCATCTCATACCTGTAATGTGGCTCACGGTTAATGAATGAATTTATTTATCTGTTATATTCTTAGATCCTTTCTTTATATTAAAAATTTACTCACTTCAGTCTGCTCCAGGGACTATTTTTCATGTTGAAAATTCCTTCGACTGGGTAATATTTTTGCTTCAAAGTAGCTAGTTGAAAAACGTTAACCAAAGTATTGAGATAATACATTACGGAAGTATTCCACCAAATTTTCTTCGATATCATTCTTTTAATTTTTAAAGCGTAGTTCTTTTTGTTTGTATATTTACATAATCATGGTGATGTTCTTTGATCAGTTACTTATACATTTGGATGTCGTTTATATTCAGTGAACCGGTGGCTCAACGGTTAACGTGTTTGACTTTGAGTCACCAAAGTGCAGATCCGAACTTCACTCTACTTTTATCGGTCTGGGGACTGGACAGCTTCAGTAACCAGCATACATAAAATGTAGCTCAAAGCCGAGTGCACGTATCTGTACTTTGTAATTTAGTTAATAATAATATCTTTCGTTTCGAAAAGTTAGTTGTGTCTGTTTGCGGTATTCACTAATTATTATTAAAGCTGAATTACCAGCTTCTTTCGGAAAGTAATACTAGTAAATAAAATATTTTCGTGTTTATCTAGGCAAACTAATCTGCATCATGTAAATTGAGCCAGAAATTAGAGTTTCACAGACTGACATGCTTAATTTCCTTGCGAATATATTACTCTAGTCCCAGTTATTTCTGTGTGTTTTCATAATAGATAACTGCAGGAGCTCTCTTACCATTACTGCTAGCTTTTAACTCTACATTTTTACTATATATGGAACATTTTTTCTTCAGGTTATACCTCAATTGAAGTCCGTTCATTTTGATCTAAATGAGGGAGACAATCGAGTATCCTCAGTGTCTAATATACACCAAAATGCAGTATCACAACTCCAGGAACTTTTGGATATGCATGACAATTGTTCCTATCTCCTAGAATTGCACCAGGCCATAAATAGCTTCGAGTCTTCAGTCAATCAACTGTTATACCAATGTTCACGTCGTTCGGTCGTTGATAAGAAAAAGAAATGGGAAGACACAGTTGTAAAATCTCCCAAAGACTCAGAGATTGATTTAGAATCCGATGATAAATGTGTGGAAATAGATGAAGAAACCTATCGGTTAGTAATCATTCTTATACATTTAATGTATTTCGGAATATCCCTTGAAAAAATATCTTTTGGTATCCAGACAATAACAGTGTTTGTACTAACAGAACAAATTACAGTGTTTAATTAAAAGCCTCTTTGTATGGAATACCGATTTCTTCCTACAAGCTGCAGAATAAACATCCAAGTGCGACCTCTGAAGAAAACCATCTCACGAACCATTGTTCGCTTTCTTAGTATTTTACTCTTGAGATATCCCATTTTTATTTCTGGTTTAATGTGGTAGTTTACTACCGTCAAAACTCAGGTCTATGCTATTACTTCTATTCACTATTGAAATGTTCGACTAGACAAATTTGTAACAGTATAGCTTTTTAATTGCTTTCTACGTAGTTAAATCTGCTTCGGAAAACAGAAACTTTTAAACCAAACTAGAATATTATTCACATTTCATGCTTAGTTATGCTTTTCAAATTCTTTTATTTCTGAAGTTAAACATTTCGCTCATAACTTTACGGGTCGTAGGATTTCCATGTAATATTTTAATCCTTTAAAGCCAGTTTAGTGTTAACTCTGATTAGCAAGCATGTTTCGAAGTACGCAACCGTACAAACCTTCAGTTTTATTTGTTTTACGAATTGATTTGGGTTAAAGCCTGATTTCCAACAACAAATCTGTATAATGTTGCATACGTTCTGTAGACATTATACAACTTGCGCGTCTAACGTTAAACGATACCGGAAATATTTTGATATTTCTTTTAAGCTCATTTGAACTATCTACAGGAATATCTGACACAGTGTGGGTCTTGTATCAGTCATAAGCAATGTAAAAACCTTGGATTAATGTCAATCAGTTCAAATTGGTACAGAGCATCTGCACAGTGAGATCAATTCATAAAGATAAATATCAAGTTAACAAAAGTAGTCATATTAATCGTAATAAAACAGATGTAACAACGAATATGATTCAAGAAGAAACAATTAATTCGCAGAATAAAAGATATAAATAGCTTTAGAATTCAGGATTAAAAGGAGTACAAACAGTGAATAAATCTATCCCATTCTAAAGCCTTCAATGATCAATCACGTTAGTCATACGAATCTCAACCAGTTAGTCTACATCTGGTAACATATCTCAAACGAACAATCGAAGGCTTCATAGATTGATGCTTTTAAAAAAAGTTATTTAACACTTTATCCATACTAAGTGTCGAACAAATTCAATATTTTAATCTGCTTATTACATCATTTCATTGTGTATATGTACGTGTATGTTACTATTTTTAGTTTATTATTGTGAAATATACATCTTTTTGTTCCTTCGTCTTATCTAGTTTATGTGTTGATACTGTGGTAACATCACTTGAAGAATCTGAACATCTACTTGCGAAACATAAAAAGTTTAGTAAAGATGTAGTACTTGTCTTTCAAAGTTGTCAACAAACATTTACACGTTGCAAGGTATTACGGTTATTTCTTTTTTGTTTTTCCAACTCATAATATTATTTTCTACCATTTTTTCATTATGTATATTTCGTGATATTAGGCTACGCATAGATTTATTTGCATTAGTGACGGTAAACGCATAATAAGCCATAACTACCATAGTTTATTTATTATTTATTTTTGTTTAAACACACCAACGTCGGTACAAGAAGACACCAAATATATGTGCCATACAAATAGACTTTTGTGAGGGATGGGGTACTTCCCTGGTGCTCAAACCGAGTTGGGTGGTTTTCTTAGAGGCCTACTCCTCGAGCCTTTGACCTAAAGGTCTAATACACAAGGCAGTGGAGCAACGTAAGGAGATGCAGTCCCATTTTAGCCGGTAACCAACGATTGGTTCATACACTATTTGTCCCTTCAGAATCCTGGATCCCATGTGCACCGATGGTTTGGAATCGGTGTGCACCAACCCTAATAAAGCAACGGACATTTGCTTTTCGTCCTCTTAATTTCGTAAACAACATCCCCGCTGTGAGAAGGTAGTGAGTAAGACTTCCCTGGCAGTGGTTGTATGCACGTGGCCATGTAAGAGCATTTAGATAGGGAGAGCTAACTCTTCCCACTCTCGGCCATACCAGAGCATTTGGGGGTTATCGACGTCCAAACTGTTCGTTTTCACTACTGGTACAGTATAGGATTAGGTTGGAAAAACGTTAGAAGTGTTTAAATCAAGACTTGACATGGATCCATGCAGTTAGTGACTGTTGAACCGAGCCATGTTGATAAGTGCAGATTGTATTGTTTAAGGTCCGCGTAATTTTCAGAATTAATAATTAGAGAATAAATCTGAGTTGTATGGCTTAGAGTAGTTTGCAATGGCCCATATCCATTCACTTTATTGGGGATGTCCAATCCCTAAAAGTTCATCTTTTGAAAAACGGAAACAGTATTGATGAAAATGAATTTCTGTTGCATTAAATTATTTAGTGTGAACTCTGCTCATGGACTTTCAATACAGTTTTGCTGATTTCTATATTGTGACAAATAATCAGTTCAGTACTTCTATTCATTGTAATTAATACATGGTCGAATAACTTAATTGTATCTTCGTAATAATATACTGGGTTCATCATCAAAAGGTTTCAATTAGTAAACTGATCTTTCTATTCTATTTATTCGGGTGGAAAGTAGTCTCGTTCATTTCATTGAAGTCAGAGTTGTGAGATCTTAGCATAGGACATGAATTAATCACACTCTCTTCCATCCTTTAGGTACCAAGTTTCTTAATTATGTTACTAAAGTCCTTTTTTTACTCCAGAAATCCTTATTTTCTTCATGAATCGTATCTGAAATCTCCAATCCTTTTTATTACTACTGATACTGCTGCTAACTATACTACTTTGGCATATCGCTTTGCTGATGTAGTTTGACAGCTTGAGTTAATACACATATAAACCAAGTTCTACATTCCATTTGACTAACCACTCAGCACAGTCTTGTTCATTTATTTATTTAAACACATAAACATGGGCAAAAAAGAGCATCGAAATATAAGTGCGCTACAAAAAGTAGTTATCACTAAATGTGTGTCTGCTTGGATACTTTTCGAGTGCCCAAACCGGAACAAGTAGTTATTTTAGGAGGCCACTACCTGAGATTTTAACTTAGAGGTCTGATCCACAAACAAGGAAGTAGAGCAGCGTTAGAAGATGCGATCCCATGGTATCCGGTGACCAACAATAGGTTTATACTCCATTTGTTCTCTCAACATCCTGGATCTAATCTGTTCCATTGGTTTGAAATCAGTGTTTTTCAACTCCACTAATTGAAGCTTGTTTAACAGAAAACTACTCAGGTTCAATTTTATTGAAACTACAGATCCTGTTTGCTAAAGCCTACTGAAACTATTCTATTTGCATCCCAGTTTTTTGAAGAATAATTCACTATATTGTAACTGTGTAAATTCTACATTTTTCAAACTTTGTATGTTTCATTATATTTTATTTTCAGAATCGTCTTACTCAACATGTTGATGATCTTTGGCGTCGATGGATCATCCTAGAAGTTCCTTCAAAACATCAGAATGTATCTTCAAAGTTCAATGTTAATAATATATATCCTTCTATTCGTGGACAACTTCAGCCGAATGATTTTTTCAGTTTTTTATTCGATGCTTGTATACCATCACCTACTGACATGTGTAAATCTTTAAGACAGCCGAGTTATACATCCAATTCCGTTTTTTATGAAGTTTCTGATCATGATGTGCCGACTACTCAATCATACGGGGAATCAACTGTTTTAGCTAGTCTCAAAATATTGGCTAAACCTGAATTGATCTCTCAGTTGTTACGTATTATTGATGCTTTAAAAGAGTCTAAGGTTAGTGAACTGTACCTTTTCCATATAGTTATTGATGGTATGGGGGAATCGTATCGATCTCAGTTAACTATTGGGCGGAATTACGTGACAGAACTCCAAACTTTCTCATCTTCACTATTGATCGCTTTCTTGACATGTGACAAAGATATTTCGATATCACCTGGCAATTTAATCGTTACAAACAAGGTTGTTCAGGCTATAATTCACGCACGAACAAATGAAATCAAGGATAGCAAGTCTTGGATTTTGGCCCGAAATTCACTTATCCAAATGGTTAAGTATCATTACGGCATTGTAATTGATGTCATTTTTTGATGAAAAACCCTGACTCTAATTCCCAACCCTAACCTCACACCTGTTACTCGTGAAGCACAAGGCACCGACAGGGAATCTCCAAACTACTTTGTCCCGCGGGTGAGACTATAATTTATAGACGACCTTTGTGCGACGCCCAGTGACCTTGAGTGTCTACTTACTAGGGCTAAGTGAGGGTTATAAAGTAGTTCGAAGAATAAGGATTATGATTCACAGTTGGTGGTTAGGGTTAGTAATTAGATTTATGGTTTTCATCACGCTAAAACGCTATTTGGACAAATCAGTGGGTGAATGTCCCATCAAAATCCAAGACCTGTTATCCTAAATCTGATTGGTTCGTCCATAACTTATAGCCTTGCCGTCCTGTGCTCTCTCGAGTTGTTGCCAAGTGCTATTTATTCTTTTAAAGTTTGTCTTCAGTCCCCGACTCATTGTGATCCTAGTTATGTCTTTTTTCTTTTTTCCTTGATGACTCCAATCTAAGGCTTGCCTCAGGACGCAGTTTGATAATTTCTGTAAAATATATCCTCTTCACCTCCAGCGTTTATTTATTTATTTCAACACACAAAAGTTGGTACAAACAGGCACCAAATATATATATGCCACACAAATTATTCGATTTGTGTGAGGGCTCGTATACTGTTCGGGCGTCCAATCTGAAGCAGGTGGTTTTCTTAGAGGGCAGTACTTCGAACCTCTGACCTAAAGGTCTGGTCCACGAGGCAGTGGAGCAGCGTCAGGAGATTCAGTCCCATGGTAGCCGGTGACCAACAATAGGTTCATGTGTCATTCCCTCAGTATCCTGGAACCCATGTGCACCATTGGTTTGGAATTAGGGTTTTCCAACTCCACTAGATGGACCCTCCGTATCCACCAACCTGGTTAAAGCACCTGACATTTGCTTTTCGCCTTCTGAATTTCGTAAACAACACCCATGGTGTGAGAAGACAGTGAGTAGGACTTCCCTGGCAGTGGTTGTATACGCGTATTGATATGAGAGCATTTGGAGAGGGAGAGCTAACTCTCCTCACCATCGGTCTTACCAGGGGATTTGGTGGCAATCTATTATTTAGAGTTATTGAGATCATATATTAAGCGTATATGATTCTTTAATTTACTTAACTGCTTACAGTGAATGTAGCATGGAAAAAAGATTGAGGATTGGTAAACTAAAACACTACACTATATATTGTGAGGTAAAATCAGCATGATAAATAAAATTGATAATCGAACGCTATGTTGTAACCTGAATCTTAGTGTACTGGAACATTTGCATATCATTTTTTTCATCTTACTTTAAGTCTTAACATTTTTTTGATTTCTTGTGGCTTAGTAAGTAGTTGGTTTTGATACTGAACTTCCTCTTGGTCAGTGACACCAAGTGTAGTAACCGAGAACTCAGATGGGAAAGACCAATTTATTGTTTAATGTAAAATTACAGAATGCTTTGACAAAATATTGAAACCATACATTGAATACATCATTTGTCCTTCACATGCTTAATGATTCTTTCAATTTTGTTGTTAATAAAATTTACTTTCTGTTTTCTTCAATTGAATCTTCTCAATCTTCTGCTAACATGCATCGCATTTCTGATTGGTATTACTTACTACTTATATTTGTCAACATAAGTAGCATACATCACAATACTACCTAGTTGCTCGAACTAATGTATGTTAATTTAATTTCGAATCTATGATCCTGCTGAAATTTGAATACATTAATCATATAGTCACCACAAATTATGAATATATAATTCCATAGAAGCCATTTCCAATCTTTATGTGTTACCTTCTTATCGCATTACCTGTTTTCTGGTTGCCTTACCCAGAAGTGTGCCAACTTTAATCAAAACACGTTTCATGCTCGTTACTACACAGTTTTTGTCTGTCTCTATTTCTCCTCTAGCAATGTTCAATGTAGTGACATTTGATTGTATAGTACATAACCGTCATATTTGTTAGTTAGATGTTTGTTAGCAGCAAGTTTAATAAAGGTTGTCTTTTTTAGATTTTGTGTAGATTGTAAATAAACTTTGACTGAAACAATTGATAAGTGGTTCATATTTGTCAGATATCCACCATACAATGTAACTCATATATACTAAAGCTGACAATACTTGGAAAATGAAACCTTAATATAGTCTAAGGAAGATACTCTATCTGTCTGTAAATTGACTAGATTAGATTAAGACATCATATCGAATTATTCTTATAAACAAGATCGTTTCTATAGAATGTCACTAGATTTTATAAAAATATTCTCCTTTGTTTTGTTACTTGAAGGCATTTCGTATTTGACATTTATTTGTTTGATGGGGTCGGCATTAATATATCAGCAACGATATTCTTCTTTATGGTTCTTTACAGAGTCGTATACTTGAATTGGCTAATCAAATTTGGATGTATATATTTAAACCTTGGCTTAAAAAGGTACCATGTGTGTCGGGATCAAATGTCGGCTGGGGGAAATTAAAGGTTGGTTTTTATCTTATGGTTGTTTAACTTTCTCAATTGATACGGTCTTTTTCATTGAGGTAACTGTCATTCGTTCGTTCCATGGAGTTTTGTATGTTTTATGGTCAACGATAGAAATCATAGTTCATGATTGTTAACACTTACACCAGTAAAGCGTTGTTTGGAAACACATGAATGTTGATCAATTAGTAGTATAGTTAGAAACATAGTCATTATACTTGCGATTTAGTCTGTGACTGAACTCTACTCTATTTTGATTGCATTGTTTTTCAGATGTTCGTGGAATTATTAACATATTAAAACATAACAGTCAGATTAATGACACTGGCATTGAATGTCAACTCCCATCTTAATTAGTGTCCCTTTCCTTGCTCTAGTGTTAATGACAATCAAGTGTTACTTAAAACTGTCTCACTATCTTTTTAGTTACCGGAAAGCTTGTGAACCACTCGGAAATAGTGTATTACTATATTGTCTCTGTACCAAATCGTTGAATCCATACCTTTTTTTCACTTAACTACTATTTAAAATCTCGATGTGAAAATAATCCCTGCACATAGTATTTGCTCTCAAGTTTATAGTTGTCGTTTCAGTAGTTTCGTGCATTGGTTAATTTATTTTTTTAACTCCATAAATATTGGTACAAATGGGCACCAAAATAAATATGCGTTACACAATAAGAAAATGGATAGATAGGGGAAGGGAAGTGCGTATATTAGGTAGAAGAAAAAACAAGAAATAAAAACAAATGTATGAGATTAGTAAATAACTTATGGGTAGAACTGAGTGGTGGACTCCAGGACGCGCATTTCATCTTACTTGAGACTCTTCAGTCTAATGCACCTGGCACATCCCACAGTCGATATCAACTTCAGGATTGGAACCCAGTACCGTTCGCTTCAAACGTCAGTGGGAAGACTCAGAAAATCAATACAAAATGAATTAAAACTTCACTCCATTGCACAAGCCAGTGGCTATCTGAACTCAGTAACTAAATGGATAAATTGGTGACATTTGAAGTGAACGGTACTGAGTTTGAGTCACTAAGTGAATGTCAACTCTAGAACGTGGTAGGTACATCCAGCTAACGAGTCTAAAATAGAAAGAAATGATTCACTTCTTGGATTCCATCGCTAGTCATCATTCATCTCTGCTTATAATGTTTGGAATGAAATTTGATGATGTTATTATCAATTTTTATTATCTTTTTTTCTATTTGTTGTTATTGTATTAATTTTATAGTGTCAAATAATTGAACAATCTGTAAACATCGAATCAGATCATGAATTATTTATCAAAGAAATCGGCCTAGAAACAACCGATAATAATGATGTTAATATGACTCAATATTTACGTTTAACATTAATTGCTCCAAATACTCCTCCTTCTAATACTACTACTACTACAAATCCTAATGAAAATAATCATAATCATGATGACGACGAGGATGATGATGATGATGATGATGATGATTTAATCTCTAGTTCATGCAATCAATTAACTAAAGTATTTCAGGAGTTGTATACTTATCTATTTGGTTTACAAGCAATTCAATCAGACAATAAACGTTTTATTGATATAATTGTAAATAATAATATTGATAGTGATTCAGGAATGTTCAATAATGAATTAGTTAAAGATTTAATTGATGGACGTTTTAATGCTGGTTTACCATCAGCTGAAAAATTACATAAATCAGAGATAATTGCAATATTAACACAAGTTGTTCTACGATTAATTAGTGTTGGTCGAAATACTGGATTTTTAATAGATGATATTAATCACCTTCATGATGATGATGATCATGATCATGATAAGATTGATTCATTTAAAGTATCAGCTATTGGCGGTGCAACAAAATTAAATCTTTGGATTGATAGTCTTTCTATATTAAAACATAAACGATCAGCTAATGCAATATTAGAAGAATTACGTGAATTATTAGCTGATCGTAAATTATTTTATTCAATGTGTTCAACTAATAGTTTAGTAAAAGTATGTGAAAAAAACGCTACAATTACAACAACTAATTTCACTACAAAACATAATAATAATAATAATACTGATGAAGGTATTTATGAAGAGGATGACTTAATATTGGACGATTTTATCGAGAATGATACCATTGAATTGGAATATTCAGATAAAACTAATAAAAATGATCAAATTTTATCGAAACTATTAAAATCCAAAAGTAATTTGGATAATATTTCACGGCATTTAGATCTAGGACAATTTGATTTTCCTGATTGTATGGTAAGTAATGACTCTATGTATTGTCCTCTAATTATTGACATTGTCTTGTATTTATCTGTTTATTGATTATTTAATTACTTGAAGAATGTATTTTCTTCTTTTACCTTCAACTCTGATGGGATTATTGGCACCTGACAATTCACAGTTGTGAAGGTTTGCAAACTTCTTGGTATATATTGTCATCAAAGATTCTAATCCAACTATCGAGTTATGCTTGAAATCCTAATATTGAAATATAAGATTTTTCTGGAATTACAGTATCACTAAAGAAAGCAACGTAAACAATCAAGTTTGCAAAGCTTAAATCATAAGTCAGGTATCCAGGTGTCAATAGTGTAATCAAAGACACTCACTATTCACAATTGATTAATCATTGATTACTGAACAACGTTATGTATGCCAAGTCGTTATTAGCGCTACTCATTTATTTCTATCGATCAAGTTAAAATATGGCCACTGTTCTAAATGACTTGACATCTGATGTGTCAAACAGATAGTAGTGCTTAATCAAGTGAGAATCACGCTATGTTCAAAGCGAAATTCCATTAAATATCATACAATAAGGACGAAGAGAAATGGTATAACACGTAAGGAAATATGCCAAAATATTGAATATAGTTGTTAGTATTAGAACTGGCAGTTTATAACTAGTGAAATATCGCATATACCAGGTTCGAAAAATGATTGATAATAACATTAACTAGCCAATACTAATAAGTAGTATATTGTAATGCACAAAAAGGATCGAGCAATAAAGAAATATTTCTGTAAACCGTATTTATAATACTACCGTCACTAGATTTTTCCGTTAGAATCCTCAAATGGATTCTATATCGTGATTACAATGAATAACTATGGTGGGATATTAATTTTTACATACTGAAAATTGCAGTTACATAGTGTGTGTGTGTGTCTATTGGCTTATTTTCACTAACATTCATTGGAAAGCCCACTGTTCTCTTTGAGGTATAAATGTATCTTGAGTTGTAAAGAGTCATGAATTCACTGGGTACTTCCTTAAATTTTATCTGGATCATATAGGATAATGGATGCCCCATGAATAATGTAGACAGGTTTATCTGCTAATGCGAGACACCATTTGACATGAATCAACAGTGAAAACAACAGTTTCAATACATATGATTCTTGTTTTATAATACTGTACACCTTACCATAATTTGCTTTTATAAATTCCAAGTAATTGATTCATTCTACTTTCAACCTTTATCTTTCTCGAATAATTTTTATCAGTCCGTCATTCATGCTATGCACCACACATAATCTAGCATATATGCGCATCAGTTCCAGTTGCCACACAAAATCAACACAGTGAATCCTAGAGTTATAGAGGTAGTAACAGTATTAGCGGTAGTAGAAAAGATTAAGTATAGACAATATAATTCGACAAGAGAATATAAATTGATTGAATAAAAGAGGAGATTTGAGCGGAGACAGAGGATGGATAAATCGGCAACACGGTCATTATTTTTGAGCCATGTCACCCAACATCAACAATTGGTTACGATAATCTCACGGACCACAACCACGTAGTTTCGACCTACCGACATGGTTCATTCTAACAGTCAGTTATTTCATGAACTAATGTCATGTCTTGGTTTGACCGTCGAATATCTAAACATAAACTTACTAAGGTACCTTGAGTAATTATTTACCTATTACTGACGATCGACTAGTCAGTGTGCAATGATCGAATTCTACCAACCAAATGACTCAAAATCTTATGCACTCTGCTGAGATGTTAGATAGTTGGCACTAGTCAACACGAAACCCTGAACCTAGATGCCATTTGGCACACGTCATCAAGGTATAGTTGTGGTATTAATGGATCTGATGCCCCTGGTGGATTCCACGCAATATCAACCTAGTTTCAAAGTTTGAAACTTTGCCACTTAGCTTATGAATCCAAAACAACACGAAACTTAGATCCAGAGTTTCATACAGACAGCCTCCAACTACCCAACACTTATTACCTACAGTTCACACCCTTTTCTCATTTAATTCATCTTTCTTAATTCTCAAGACATTAGGTAATGAAAATACTACTATCATTTTGACACTACTTTAAAACATTTTAGTAGTACTAGTGAATCCTGAAAAGATATGATTTACTCGTTATTCTGAATTGTGGGCAAGAGGTAATGTTATCATGATATTATTGTAATTGAAACAAGTCAATAGTAGTTGTCATAGTGAACTGTGCTTGAGTTTTCGTTGGGCTTTAAACTCTAAATTATGAAATAGTGAAATAATATTAACATTTGTGTTGAAATGATACCCAATAGAGTCTTCGACCAACACATTACAAATTATCATATTACTTCTCTACACATTCTGGTTGTAGCGTGGATTATCTGATTCCAATAAATGAACTAAACCAACTCACCAATTCAGCTGACTAATACATATTATATGAGGCATCCTCTCATCTTGACAGAACTGAGTAGTACTCCTAGTGTATGGAGCGTTAATTCTGTTAGGTCTTTGCTTATACCTGAAGTTCAAAAATGTGATCACATAGATAGGCGAAATTCCTAGTCGCAGCTGTTATCTTAACGTTATACTTAAGTTTGCACATTGTAATGACCCTATCGACTTATATTAGCAGGAATATTCATTTTTACCAGGTTGTACCATACCAGACAAGTTTATCAAGACTAAAACAAACAAATACAATGTTGGAATAGTATAATTATGCTGCCAACTGTCTAGGTGTGACATCAGCAAAGTATTTCTAATGGGAAACCGGCACCTACAGTGATACTTCCCATAACGGAAGGAGAGGATTATAAAAGGTCGATCCTAAAAATACCAAATTTCACCTTAACCCACGGATTTCCGTCTTCGTCAGTAAGGCTTTAAAAATATGGATCAGATTCACTTAAAACCACTCACAAAAGGACTATGTGTGACTTGTCTCAAGCAGTTGTCTCTTGAGCTCTGCGGTCACTTTTTCAGATGTTACTAAAACATCTTATCCAGTTTCCTTACCGGTTGATGAGAAGTATCCTTCGAAGATCTAGGCAACCAGGAAGTGACAACCTTCCTCTCACATCTTGCAGCACACAAGTTGTACGACACTTGCCATAGCTTAGTAAACTATTCGATTACTTGAGGTTTCCAACATAAAGTTTTTTTCGATAAATGTTTTTAATACATTTTACTAAATCATCATCACTGATAATTTTCAGTAGACAATGTGTATGGTTCATTCAGTTCATACTTGTATTTCCGTTAATTACATTTAAATATATCCTCTCGATAACGTAAAATTGTATATTACAGCTAGCTTTAATAGTTATTGTCGGTTTACCGCTAAAAAGTACTATTTACTAAAATCAGTTCTAATCTATGTCAACATAATTAATTATTCGTAGATTGCTAGTATTCGGCCATAGGTACCTTCAAAGCATTGTATTGTATATTTTGAGACCATCGAGTAAACAATGCTTGGGCTAGGAATAGGGTATTAGACAAAGATAGTAAATCGATTGATGAAGTAGTAAATCTTCATCAACTGAGGTGGTTGGAACATTTGTTACGTATGCCGAAGTACCACCTACCTTGTAGGGCTATGTTGTCTGGTGTAGGAGTAGATTAGATGAAATCTAGGGAGGCCAAAACTAGAATATGACATCAGTCCATGAAAAGATCAACAGTTGGACTGAGCCATATCGATAGACGTAGGCTACCTGGTTTTGGTCCATATGATTATCGTAATCAATAGTTGGACACTTTGAGTGATATCGCTTCAGATAGTTTACAATGACACATTTACATTTATTCCTTGTCTTTGACTGTGAATCACACCGCTTCAAATCATTTGGAATGGCTCAGTTATATTCGTTCTTTGTTTTCCTCTAAATTCCGAGTTCCTAAATTCCCCATAAACGTTCTTGTTTCTATTTCATTAATTTCTATTTTCCTTTCGAGTTGTATTTTTAATACGTAAGCTTTCCCGTTACCACTGACACTGTTACTATCTCTACTATTCTGTTATTTGAAGTGATATTTTTATCTCTGTGTGCTAATTGTATAGGACAACTTTGGCTGAGGTACATACGTACCAGGTTCTCAGTCAGTCAGCTACAACGTAGGACCAGGCACATATGCATCGGTCCAAGTTGCCATACTTCATTAACACAACAAGATGGACACCAGATTCATAAAAGTAGTTAATTCAAAGATGGTAATATATAAAAGAAAGATTGCAATAAGGATATAGTACAGGAAGAATTAGTTCGTAGAAAGAAAGATATGAAGCGATTTTAATCTCTTAGTTTAAGGGAAGACAGAGAGTGTATACACCGACGTCATTGTGATCGATCGTGAACAATGTCACTCCGTGTCTTCAACTATTGGTTACGATAGTCACAGGGACTTCAACCAAGTAGTCTGCATTTACCAACATGGCTCAGACTAGAAGTTAGTGATTTGAAGCACTGATGCCACGTTTTAGTTTGGCCACCCCTAACTTTCTTCCAACCATCCCGAACACCGGTTAGCATTGTACGTCGTGGTAATCAGTGTTCAGGCATACGCGATACGTGGCCCAACCGGGTTCTACATTGTGACTGACTGTTTTTAATCATTACATTGTCGAGAATACCACGTAAAGATCGATGATTCTAAGCCATATTTAATCATAATATTATAACATCATGAAATAATATTTTATTATTTATTCATTAATTCTGATTTTTCATTATTGAAGGTTTCTGAAACTGTAGATCTTGTTATGAAACAAATTTATAAAATACTTCATGATTGTGAATCATATCTTGAACCAATTATAAATGAAGTTAGTCAATCATTGAATGATACTCCAAGTACATTGAATTCAAAAAAATTTAATACTATTGCATTTGTTGAATTTATTATCAAATTAATTCCTCGACTTATAATGTTATTCACATCACTTGTACCGACTTTACATGCCGATGTCTTTCAAGGAGATTTACGTTTTGCTGGTAAGTTGTAGATATTTTATTTTTGAAGAATAATATCATAATACCAGATTATAGATTGTCCTTACTTCTATTATATACTTTACAATAAATCTGAAAGGTTACATTAGACATAGTTGATTAATAGATCTTACGATAATGTCTTCCAATTACATATTGCACTACTCACCAAAAGTTTGCCTGAATCAACACATGAAATCGCCATTCTGGATTTTCTTTTTTTAAACCATGAACTTAAAGTTGAATTCGATACTGTGAAACTCGTATTCTCAATGACACACAAAAATATTCTGTAAATAATCTACTCGTTTTTTTTTTACTAGAGTGGTTATAAAACCTGTACTTCCTCTTATATTCAGAATGGTTGGCGACTGTGTCATCATGAGTGTAGACACTGGGGTATAGTGCAAGTTTGACTGTTATTATTTTGTATTGTCGCGTTACATCAGGAAAATACATCGACTCATTAAAATCATTCCTACCAAGTTTTTTCAGTTGTTTTATTTATTATTTATTTGAACATATAAATAGTGGTATAAGGGGCCACCAAATATATATGCGCCACACAAAACAATGAGAATGGGAAGAGAAAAAAGAATGTAAGGTGTGTATAAGGAGAAAAAAAGGAACAATTACGACCACAGACTAGTGTAAGGTAGTGTAATAACAATAATAAGAATAATGGGGAAAACGGAGAGGTGCAACCAGAAGAATTCTTTCAATTAAGGAAAATACAACCACTTTTTATGAAGAAAGTAAAAGAAGGTTACAGCAGGATCTCCACTGGCTTGTATTCTGAGCCATATCTGACAACGTCTCTAGCCATTGTGTCTGCCATCTCTCGGATCCCAGCCAGAGAGTCGTGAATGACCAACAGAAGCCAGTCCTTTGCAGCTTTCTTTCATGCCACGACACCATGTCATACACTGACCACCTCTCCGCTTTTTCCAACCAGTCCCAGAGTCGGCAAATAATGCACGACGTGGAATTCTTTGGGACGACATTCGGAGAACATGTCCAAGCCACCGAAGTCCGTGTTTCAAGATGGTGACACCAATTGCATTGCCGTTTCTGTGCCCGAACACACGATGCCGAACCTTTGCATTACTGACATGGTGTCGCCACTGAATGTCAGCAATCCTTCGGAGACAACGATGATCGAACACAGAGAGTCGGCTAACGTCCTCAACTCGGAGAGACCAGGTTTCACAAGCATAGAGCAAAACTGCTCTCACCGACGCGTTGTGGATCCGACCTTTTACAGCCAGGTGGCGCCAAAGATGGCCCAGATTGGCATAAGCCACTCTGACTTTCACTATACGTGCATTGATCTCATCACTCACGCCACCACCAGCACTTATGCAGCTACCCAGATACACGAACTTCTCGACTATTTCTATCTGCTCACCATCCAGAGCGAGAACAGGGTTAGAATCCTGCCAGTCGTGTAGAAGTACTTTGCATTTCGAAGGTGCAAAGCACATACCATACCTACGGACACTGATTGCCAACTGATTAAGTTTGGATTGCATGCCTTGGGCACTATCACACAGTAAGACAATATCATCCGCATACTCAAGGTCGAGAAATCTTTCTCCAGGCAACAGATCCACAATGCCATCACTTACATCCATCAGAGCTGTTTTCAGAATGTCATCGATAGCACGGTTGAAGAGGAATGGTGAGATTGTGCAACCCTGCCTAACCCCACTGCTCGAATAGAACAATGGAGAAAGGTGGTTGTATGCCCTCACTCTGCCTGAGGTGTTTGTGTATAGGGCTTTTAGGATGTTAGTAAACTTCTCAGACACACCTTTCTTCAATAGACAATCCCAGAGAACAGTCCTATCCTACGAATCGAAGGCAGCCCTGATGTCAAGAAACACTACTATTGTTGGCCTTTGATAAGTATGGCGGTGTTCTAACATTTGGCGGAGGGTGAATATATGATCAATGCATCCTCGACCAGAACGAAACCCAGCCTGCTCCTCGCGAGGCAATCTTTCTCGGGTTTTGAACAACCTACGAAGTATGACGGAAGCCAATAGCTTGGACGCAATCGGAGGTCGACTTATCCCCCGATAGTTGTTACAGGAACAACGTGAACCCTTTTTAAAGATAGGGACAACTGTCGACTCGTTCTATGATGTTCGTATACTCTCTAGTTCGCAGACCTTTGTAAACAACGTCGTCAGTTCCTTAGTCAAAAAGTCACCACCATCTTTAAAAAGAGCCGGAGGTAAATCATCTGGGCCAGGTGATTTGTAACGCTTCAAGAGTTGGAGTTCCTTGTGGAGCATCGTGAGGAGATGCAGTCTCATGGTAGCCGGTGACTAACAGTTGGTTCATACTCTATTTGTTCCCTCAGGATACTGTTGCCCATGTGCACCATTGGTTTGGGATCCGGTTAAAGCGCCGGACATTCGCTTTTCATCCTCTCATTTTCGTGAACAACACCCCAGTGGTGAGAGAAGGCAGTGAGTAGGACTTCCCTGGCAGAGGCTGTATACCCGTGGCCGTGTGAGAGCATTTCGAGAGGGGGGCGGGCCCACTCCGTTTTGGGGCATTCATAGTTACATAATTTACCTTTGTGGGCCAGGGTAATTTTACATTGGTTTTCAGGAGAACCAGACACCATCCAGACTTTCATGAGACAACCCAAACAGTACAGCTCAATCCCGTTTAACAGAGGAGCCAGACACCGCCTAGGCTTACATTTTATAACTCGAACAGTACAGCTCAATCCTGCTTCACAGGAGAACCAGAAACCATATAGGCTTTAATGCTACAATCTGAATAGTACAGCGCAGTCCTGTTGCGCAACCACACAGGTACCAAGCACTCTGGTCAGTTGAGTTAGAGGTTATAGCAAACTATCGTCTGGACTGTGCACATTAAATCGTGTTCATCAGTATTGCTCATGTGGCTGACAATTTGTAAATGCTTAGGATGTCGTATTCACTACATAAATGCATGTTGCTACTTCACAAAAATTTTATATCGATTTTCAGGAATCGAATCTGGAAGCTCGTCATTAGTGAGCACATGATTATTATCGCAACGGGTATTTGTGAAGATTGTAGTAATTTTAACAGTTGATTTACTGTAGTTCTAGTCTTGACCAATGGAGTCCAATCCGTTTCACGTGTAAGACAGTTATCCACCTCAGACAATAGGTGAGGGGTTGCTGAAAGATCATGGATCTACTGAATTTAGACATTAACACCGTTGGATACTGGCTCAGTGGTCTAGAACTTAAGAGTTCGCACGTGTATCCCGAATGTCTTGGTTTCGTGTTCCGCGTTTGGGATCGTCGGTGCGCACTTCTGAGGAGTCCCATACTAGTGCAACTCGACTTTCCTGTGCTTCTAGGTTTTCGATGGTGGTCTAGCTTAGATCGACTCGTTCATTATTTATTTGTTCATTTGTTATGACAGTTCCCACAGCCTTAGTAAGTAGGTGACTGACAATACTTCAACACAGATATAGAAAACATTTTTGACATCTGATGTAGATCACCTATGATTTAGACCAGGTGTCTGTCTATATTTCTAAAGAGGCTAAGTTTGATTTTTATCTCCTTCGAAACTTGAATCCTGACCAATTGAAGAAGTAAATATACAAAAACTATAAGTGATCGACTACAGAGGTCTTTGAAGCATTAGTCGCATACAGCGGAAATATCAAATGAGTAATGTTATAGTTGGATGTAAGGTCCAAATTAAAAATGATAAATCCATTAATTAAGCTGTAAACTTTCATCTATAACACGGATTAATATAATACTTCGAACATGTTTAAGTACTGCCCATGTTATGTAAATTTTCAAATGACACGTTAAAAATACTTTATAGGTTTTACTTACTTTACTACTCGTATATTAATTTTGTAATGTTTATAAAAAGAAAACTTATAATTAACAGCATTATAATGGAACTTGCGTTCTATATACTCATTAGTTTTATATGATAATATTTTAGTGTTTTGTCTAATTCAATAATAAACTTAGTGTTAAGTAAAAGTTATTCTTCTAATAGCTCCCAAATGCCCTGGTACGGCCGAGAGAGGGGAGAGCCAACTCTCCCTCTCCAAATGTTCTCACATGACCACGTGCATACAACCACTGCCAGGGAAGTCCTACTCACTGCCTTCTCGTGGCATTACTGTTGTTTACGAAATTGAGAGGGCAAAAAGCGAGTGTCTTGCAGAGGCTTTAGCCAAGTTGGTGGACACGGAGGATCCACCTAGGGGAGTTGGAAAACCCTGATTACAAACCAATGTTGCACATGAGACCGCATCTCCGTACGTTGCTCCACTGCTTTGTGGATTAGACATTTAGGTCGAAGGCTCTGAGTGTGGCCCCCTAAGAAAACCACCTACTTCGTTCTGAGCACTCGGGCAGTATTCCAGCCCACACAGAAATCAAATGACTTATGTGACTCATATTAATTCGGTATTCCTTTGTACCAATACTTTTGTGTACAAGTATCAAACGTTCTATGCCTTATCATTAACATTTGATTTCAGAAGAGAACATTTTTCTTATACTGTCTCTCATTTTCACTTGTTTTCTTAATAAGATAGATCTGTAATGCCAACTTTTTATTTATTTTAAAACATAAACATTGATACATGGAGGCACCAAACAGATATGCGCCACATAAATCACTCGATTTGTGTGAGGGCTCGTATACTGCTCGAGTCCACAAGTCGAAGTAGGTTGCTTCCTTAGGGAGCCACGCCCAGGACCTTTGACCTAAAGGTATAATCCACAAGGCGGTGGAGCGACATAGGGAGATGAGGTCCCATAGTAGCCGGTGACCAATGATTGGTTCATACGCCATTTGTTCCCTCACGATACTGGATCCCACGTGTACGATCGATTTTGAGTGGGGGTTATCCAACTTCCCTAGGTGAACTCTCCGTGTCCACCAACCCGGCTATGGCGCCGGACATTCGCTTTTCGTCTTCTCACTTCGACTGTCCCCACTCTCAGCGATACCAGGGCATTTAGGGGCAAATTTACTTTTATAGATTAGTATATTTCTTGATCCTTTCGTTGTCTCAGTTTCACATTTCTAACAATAGTAGTAATATTAATACTCATTACCATTAAAATATTATGTAGAACTCTCTGTTTATTTTTGATCCTTTTTTATTCTCTTCTATTTTCAGTTCTCTACTACAATGATTGTATGTATTTAGCTCATGAATGTTTAACATTAGGTGAACGTGGTCTTTATAAATTTGTTCAACAGTTTTTAGACTTAGGCTATGATATCATGACTAATACATTGAACAATACTACTGTTACATCAAACGAATCAAATACATTCAATAATTTGAATATATTAGAAAGATCAGCTTCTTTAAGCACATGTATTTTGGTACCACATTTACGTCAATCTGGTGTTAATAATTTATTAGATCATTTAAGACGTGAACGACAAGTTTTATTACGATATGTTGAAAAGATTCAAGGATTTCATGTAAGTTTCTTTTTATCAAAGAAAGTGTATCTTTGTGTACAGTTTTAATGTTTACAATTTCTGTTAATAGTTTTTTGTTTTCTCAAATTGTATACAAAATTCATCTGTGTGTATAAACATACATATTTCTGATAAATAAAATGAACCTTCTTTGGAAAAATATTTAATGACAGAAGTAAACTACGTGCATGATCATGAGCCTTTCAGATTTGAAACAGTAATTTGTTTTGGATTTTCGCATGGAATTTAAAACTTACTTTCTCCTGTTACTCCTCATGGAGAAGCATAGACTACCCACCAACACTCTCCATCCAACCCTATCCTGGGTAATCCTTTCCAGTTTTTTCTAGTTGTTATTCATCCTTTTCATATTTGCTTCTATTTCCCTATGTAATGTGTTATTTGGTCTTCCTCTTTTCCACTTCCCTTCAGGATTCCAAGTTAGGGCTTGCCTCGTGGTGCAGTTTGATGATTTGCGTGATATATGTTCTATCCATTTCCATCATCTTTTCCTAATTTCCTCTCCAACTGGAAGCTGGTTTGTTCTCTTCCACAGTAGGCTGTTGCTGTTTGTATCCGGCCAATGGATGTTGAGTATCCTGCGTAGACAACTATTTATAAATACTTGTACCTTCTTGATAATGGTTGCAGTAGTTGTCGAAGTTTCAGCTCCATACAGTAGAACTAACTGTCTTGACGTTCGTATTGAAGATTGTGACTTTGATGTTGGTTGACAGTTGTTTTGAATTCCATTTGTTTTCTTTAATTGTAGGAATGCTGCCCTTGCTTTGCCAATTCTCGCCTTTACGTTTGCATCCGAATTTAAAAGGCAATAACAAATAGTGTGTAACTTATTGATAGCTCTCCAAGAATCATTTAAAATATACTACTGATAAACAGGACACAAGACTGAAGATTAGAAACAAGTTTGAATGATTCTTCAAGGTAACGGTGACATAGTGATCAGTTTCTTTTTCGTGTAGAAAACTGCTGAAATAAAAATATACATGAATTGTTAGCATAATTTATCAATTTATTCAGGCTTATTTGAGCGAGTTTTAAAATTCCTGTTCAAAAAACCACTATCCACATAAATATTCAACATTATCTTTCAAAATAGCATTCTATTACTCTAATCTTAATTCTTGACTAAACATGACCATTTTTCGTTTATTATAATCAATGTTCCAATATGTGAATTTATTTATTCATTTAAACACCTAAACATTGGTACAAGGAGGCACCAAACAGATATGCGCCACATAAATTATTCGATTTGTTTGAGGGTTTGGATACTGCCTGAGTGCACAAGTGGAAATAGTTTGTTTCCTTAGTGGGCCATGTCAGGACCTTGAACCTAAAGGTATAATCCAGAAGGCGGTGGATCAACGTAAGGAGATGCGGTCCCATGGTAGCCAGTGACCAACGGTTGGTTCATATGCCATTTGTTTCCTTATGATCTTGGATCTCATGTACATCATTGATTTTGAATGAGGGTTTTCCAACTCCGCTTGGTGGACTCTCCCTATCCACCAATCCAGTTAAAGCCTCTGCCGGACTTTCGTTCTTCGTCCTCTTTATTTCGTAAACAACAGTAATGCCACGAGAATGCAGTGAGTAAGACTTTCCTGGCAGTGGTTGTGTTCACGTGGTCATGTGAGAGCATTTGGAGAGGGAGAGCTAACTCTCCCCTCTTTCGGCCGTACCAGGGCATTTGTGGGCCTAGGTAGAAAAAGGTCTTTAAGAAGACCTTTATACAATAAATTGTTTTAGAAATAATTACTGTTTTTTAATTTACTGTAAAGTCACATTACACATTAAAGTTGTACGGTGAAATAATACAAGTTACGCGTTTTAGTATTGTGGTGCAGATATTAGTAGTACATACCAGTAATCGGAAGTGGGATGCTTGTCAGCAAAAGATTGAATTAAAGCGCACAGCAAGGGGAATTGAAATAATAACATAATTGAAGAAATTATAAAGTATATGTAAAGGACAGGTGATGGGAGATGTGTAAATGATGTATTGAATGTATAGTTTTCTCATATTTTACAAAAGCACTCTATAATTTAAAATTAAACAATAAATTGGTTCGCATAAAATGATGCACTATTGTTTTTTTCTTTTTAATCATCTCCTGTCATATCATAAATAACACTTCGATTGTACTGTACTAACTTTTGTCGAGCTAGAAGTATGTCTAATCAGGATATCAGTCTATCATTCAATCAGCTGTTAATCTAAATAACATGTAGTATTCAGTCCTAACAGCCATTCAGCAGTGTTTCAATGGTTAAAACGTTAAACTTTTAATTCACCAAGTCGTATGTTCGAACTCAACATTTACCTAGATTGGTTCTTACAACTGGATAGTATCACTATTCATCATGCAAAATAAGTATAATTCAAAGCTAAGTACATATATGTCTATTTGGTAATGAGACAACGGTGGACGGTGGCTCAATTTCATAGATTGGTTGAAGTTAGACATTAACACCGCTGAATGCGGGCTCAGCGTTCTAGAGGTTAAGTGTTAACGCGCGAGACTGATAAGTCCTGGGTTCGAATCTCTCGAAGCTGAATCGTGGATGCACATTGCTGAGGAGTCTCATACTTGGACGAAATGATCGTTCAGTACTTCCAGGTTTTTCATGGTGGTCTCCACAAAACCACTCCTGATAATAATCAGTTAATAAATTAGTTCCACAGTATTACAATGATTGAATAAACATATTTCAAATGATTTTCTGTTAATGAATATTATCTATATGAAAATATATCATTCTCAGTTGGTCTAATCATCAAATTCCATTATTAGACACTTGACATAATGATAATAATTTGATCTTTCATTAATGTTATATTCCATCATCTCAATGCTAAACACTATTCTATATTGTATGATAAGCACATATAAACAAACTGATCTATTCTATATTAGGCTTATGATTTATATTATTATTATCATTGAATTGATAAACATATTTACACGTAGAATAAACGTCTCTTTCTTAATTTATAATTAACAAACTAGTGTTTATGCTTGTGTAAATCATTCAAATGAACTTTTGACCGGAAGATTGTATATCATAGAAAGGTATGACTGGCCTCCGACCATTCATATATATATATATATATATATATATATATATATATAGAGAGAGAGAGAGAGAGCGAGAGAGAGAGAGAGATTGCATAAACAATGCCAATTATTTTGTTGTTTATTTCAAGTTATTAATTGAATGTTCGTTACATAGTGCAAGTTATTGTTATTATTATTGGTGTGTGTTTGTTCTATTAGAAACTCATAAGTACAATATCGTGACCATGGCACTAATTAAACTAACTATAATAAGGGTGTTACTACTGTTATAAATGTAATAGACGAGATACTAGGAATATCTATTTATGCGTCAATGCATTGTTTGATGTACAGTGAATAGGTTTTGATTGAGTTTTGTTCTCTGAGCTAGATAAATCTCTTATATAATTCTTGGATAAGATAAAAGAGATCCAAGTTAACAATAACAAATTGATAATATGCTTCTACTTAACAGCCTTATTCATCTTAGTCGAATGAAACATTGCGAAGAAAACTTCATTTCTTTTTCTCATCAATGTTACAAATCTCCTTAAGTATACAAAGTTACAGTCTACTACAAATCATCAATTTATGCTTAATAACATATTTTCAATTGAATAAAACCTACAAACAGGCGATAAGAATACCAATATGAGGACTTATTTCAGTAGCGGTAATTCAGTGACTGGAAGCCTCAATTTGACCTGTTGTCAAGTCAGAAATGTGGATTCGTCATCATCAAAAAGTAATAGCTGACAAACAACCACAATTTTATCAACAATGTCATTTTGATGACATAGCATTCACAATGAATAGGATTCGAACAGCAACTATCATTTGTGGAGACTCAAGTATCTCGAAAGCCAATCCACATAGATCAACATCTCAACTATAGTAGCAATAACTCAAGAATTTATATCATCAACTGTGTACAAAAAGATGGGAACGCACTGAAACATACCTACAGTGAGGCAAAATGGCGAAAATTATCTGATGACTATCTTTCAAAATAACGGCTACCCACTGAACTTCACCAAAAAATGTCAACCCATCTCATCAGCGGGGATGAAATCAAGTATAGAAACCGACAAATAGATCACACAACTAAACTATACAGCTCAGAAACCAAAGTTCCACCAAAATTGTCCACCTGAGCTACAAATCCTTCACCATCTCGATGCAAAATTTATTTTCATCACTTTTGAAATGGAATAACAAATATTATGTACTCAGAGGAGCGAGGTGGGCAGGTTGAGAAGAATATAATCTCTACAACATTAATGCTAATATGGATAGGTTAAGAGAAGTCAGAAGGAAATAATGATGTAGGTAACATACTGATTCCACTCTTGTTGTAGAACTGTATAAATGTGTAGATCGCACTGATAATGGAGCAGTGGTTTAATTGTTATAGTGTTCAGCTTACAGCCTATAGTTCTCTGATTCGAACGCCATTTCACTTGTTTCAGTTTGGTCGACTGCGAAGTATCACTAGCTGTGTTACACTAAGAATGTGACTTAAAATCAAATACACGAACTTGCACAACTGGTAAATTAATTGCAATTAGTTCTTTCTTGTGGAAACTAGCAAAAAATAATCGATTTATGACCTTCTCTGAATTTCATTGTTCTAATACATTTCTTATTTTCTCAGATGAGGATATTTCAATTCTCTTTTTTTTTAATTTTTACGTTCCAATGTGACCATTGACTGCATCCTTATGATAGACGAAAATTTTTTATTTATTCATTTATTTTTTTGAACACATAAACATTGGTACAAAAAGACACCGAATATATATGCGCCACACAACTCTTGATTTGTGTATGGGCTGTGATACTACCCGAGTGCTCAGAGCGAAGTAGGTGATTTTCTTAGAGGGCCACACCTAGAGCCTTTGACCTAAATGTCTAATCTACAAGGCAGTGGAGCAACGCAAGGAGATGTAGTTTCATGGTAGCTGGTGACCAACGATCGGTTCGTACGCCATTTATTCCCTCAAGATCCTGGAGCACATGTGTACCATTGGTTTTAAATGAGGGTTTTGTAACTCCTCTGGGTGGATCCTCCTTGTCCACCAACTCGATTAAATCTCCCACCGGACATTCACCTTTCGTCCTCTCAATGTCACAAATAACCTCCCTTTTGCGAGAATGCAGTGAGTAAGACTTTCCTGACAGTGGTTGTATGCACATGGCCATGTGAGAGCATTTGGCGAGGGAGAACTTATTCTCCTAGCCATCGGCCGCACTAGGGCATTTGGGGGCAAACAAAAAAAAGTCATGGAACATAATAGAATGAGGTACATTTAAAGTGTTGAGTTGCTAACAGTAATATGGAACACTGTTTAGGTGAATTGAATCTTTTTATTATTAAGATTAATCAGTTAGATAAGAACTATGTGTATCTCAACAGAAGTTAAATCATTTCATTTCATATATCAATTGTACCTAGTATTTAATCAAAACCGCTGACATAACAACCAATCAAAAACTTAATAATCTCCACAACCATCATACTAGTAATTAACATGTACTCACTAGTGACTAGCTTCGTGAGGGAATTCTCGGAGTTCTAGTGAGAAGCCGTTACCAGTGGAGCTAATCCATGTGTGATAGAGACAGGTATCTACCTCAGTACAATAGAAGATGGTCGCCCAATTTCGTGGATTGGTTGATGTTAGACACCATCACCATTGGATGCCGGCTCAGTGGTCGAGTAGGTTAAGCGTCCGCGTGCGAGAACGAAGGCCCTGGGTCGGAATCCCGCGGGCGGGATCGTTTATGCGCACTTCTGAGAAGTCTCACAATAGGACGAATTGGCCATCCAGTGCTTCCAGGTTTCCAAAGGCGGTCTAACATCAATCGGTTCATGATCTCAATCAACAACAACTATATGCTAGATAGCATGTTATACTTATTCTCACTGACTAAGTTATAGTATGAAAAATGAAGATAACAATTCTTTGTTAGGTTCATCATTTGGTGTTTCTCAATATTTTGTAGTATAATGGTATCTAAGTAAGATGTAATTTTATGTTTATGGATTATGTAATTGACTTTTATAGAATTGAAGCATCATGGTATTATGACAGTTACATTTATTAGTCTTTTTTTGACTGATTCATTTGGAGAAATTTTAATTTGGCTTGATTGGTTTTCATGTTGTGATCTCTCTTTTTGAACTATGAGTGAAAATTGTAGACTTAATTATTCAATCATTCACTTTTAACTTAAGATCTTTCAACAGTGTAAAACTTGGAACATTTTTTCGAAAAGTGTACATCGTGATTCCCATACGTTTTTTGCTCTCTTTCTCTCTCGCTCTCGCTCTGTTGCGTAACAATTTCACTTCATTATATTTAGCTTATTATCCTCTATGCAGCACTGTTGAAGTAAATACGGATAAGTATCTCTAAGTTTTCAGTTTTTTTTAGAACTTTTCATAACTTAGAAAATCAGCGACCAAATTCTTTTGTGTCTGTAAGTTACTAAAATTAAAGAGAATACTACGAAGTGGTTGTTTTTTTTCGTGTGTGTGGATAAAATCATGTACTTAAGTTGTAGATTCATCAATTCTAGACACGTTACCCTAAAAAATCATCATCAGCTAGAACTTAGGACGAAGAACATATGAATGGTAGCCTGCTTGATTATCTGGACTACATGTTTCTGACATCAACATATCTCAAAAAGTTACTTATCGTTTGTTTGTTTTAACACATCTTATTCTCATAACCTATTTAGGCCTTACAGCATACAAAAAAGTACAATCAGAAACATTGTATTGGATGTCAGTATACATTGAAAAGAATGATCATTGTTCAGATTTCGATTTCTGAACTGTTAACATCCAATTAGTGATAACTCAGTATTTATCGTTAGGATAGATGAAGAAACAAGGAGAGGAAACTTGATGAAATACTTTGTGCTGAGGATTCTATATTGTACCAAAAACCTGATATTGAATAAAGTCACTAATAATAATGACAATGATAGCATCAAAGGGGGAAAGGTAAATTGAATAAAAAAATCACGCATTATTAGGGTGCTGGCAATTCATCGATCCAAGCCTTAACTCGGCGTGCAACTCCTCAACCTTCCATGACCCTAGTGTCCTTTTCCAATGTGTTTTGGTTTTGTTTTCGAGTTCTACCTGGAGCTCTCCTAGGTTTACTCCAGATCTCAAGCCCAGGTAAATGAGGCTAGTTGGACTTGTGGTTAGCAACCCTGTTTCTTAAAGAAGAACCTCAATAAAAATCGTTAGACCTTACTTTACTTTACTTGCTCTTGTTACCTCTCGTGAGACATGGGTCACCGACCTTGATCATCATCTAACTTTTTTGTATGGTTATCATAACCTATACGTTTTTTATTTCCTCTTCCTATCTGTAAGCAGTTACCTTTCTTATTTTTGACCAGCAAATTATTCTCATCCCTGCCCAATTTCTTAATAACCTCTCGATATTTCAAATCTTGAATCACTTTATGATGTAATTCTATTTTTATTCTCTTATAGACTAACATATATATTTATCAAACAACTGTAACAAATATACAGCCTAAGTAAATGGGAGCAAAAATTTCTGTGTTGAATTCTCTTAGCTCTTATGATTCATTGACACAATGAATTACTTTTGATTAACAGTGATTATTTAACTCATATGTTTGTTATAGAATGTCAGTTCCTCGATTGGTAATCGTCATTGTACTACAGCTATAGAAGATTGTTGTCATCATTTGCATAAAATTTCAGAAGCACTCAGTCCACTTCCTCGTACAGTTTATTTTCGTGCTATGGGTAAGTTTATACTAAATCGATTTGGATGTTTTTTTATTTATTTTAAACACACATAAACATTCGTACAAGGAGGTACCAAAAACATATACTCCACAACCTCGTCATTCGATTTGTGTGAGGGCTGAGATACTCCCTGGGTGCCCAAAGCGAAGCAGGGGTTTTTCTTTGGAAGCTACACTCGAAGCCTTTGACCTAGAGGTCTATTCCATAGGGCAGTGGAGCGACATTAGGGGATGCGATCCCATGGTAGCCCGTGATCAACAATAGGTCCATGCACCATTTATTCCCTCAGGTTCCTGGAGCTCATATGGACCATTCAATATGTTCCTCATTGTTTTTTTCGTGCTTGGTTAGTTTAAATAAAGTTAGAATGAACCGCGTACTCTGAAGCAATGAGAGAGAATAGGTTGAAACTATTAATAATAATGATAATAAATTTTTTAAAGAGTCATCGTATTTTGGTTTGAACAGATGTGAATTTCACCAAACTACCTTAAGTTTAGCAATGTCTTAAGGTTAAAATAATGATGAGTTTTGTTTTTGAATATGTAATGATACCGTTATTAAATTAAAAGAAGAAATAAGAACAAATTCTGTATGCTCTATAAAAACCAATGAAGAATGAATTATTTATTTTGGCACCGATCTATAAAGCTCGTTTGGTTTTCTGTCAACTGACATCACTTATGAGGTACACAAGGTATTCGTCTACCAACCAAAAAACAAGTTAGCTGGACACCTGTATGTCCTGTTCTACTTTGTCTCTGTGATACGTGACCTTTAGAAATAGAGAATATTCGTATATTGCTATTATTTGATTATATTTACCTGGTGTAAGTTGGGACTATCGAGTAAACAACAGTCAAGCTAGATCTAGGGTATTAAATAAAGATTACAAATCGGTTTATGTATTAGTCAATATCCATAGACTGAGATTAATGAGACATGTATTACATAGCCTAAACACTACCTACCTACCTACTTAGACAGATGATGTTGACTGGTGGAGTCGGTTGAAAGTACACTACGAACGGTCAAACTATAATGTGACTGTTAAACTGTATTGAGGTGGAAGGTAGGTACAGAATACATGGTTGGGGTCCATGCAATTATTGAAACCAATTGTTGGAGACGTTGGATTATATGGCTGTGTATCAGTCACAATGGTATAGATACATTCACTCTTCGTCTTCCCCCCAGATATAGTTTCAAATTGATCTTATACGTTTCCTATTTTACATATTCATTCTTCTTTTCTAATGTTTTCTATTAACATTAACCTTGTTACTAATTCTACTACTCTGTTTACAATTGATTGATTACATGACCAATATCATGTTTGTTAAGTGCTTCTTAATGCTGATAAAATTCTATTGACCAAGTTGCAACATGGATCCACCAGGCAACATCAATGCCTTCAAGATTACTGATATCATTTGCTGACAATTCTCATATACGTTCAGAGCATACTAACAACTATCTCCAGTCACTTGAAATCTCTACTACCCTAATATATGTGTTCAGAATGTCATCTCATTGTGCTGATATGATGTGAGGAGATAATCATTACCTATTCATATCGGATTCTACGTTGCGCATAACTGCTTTAAGTGTTTTAATAATTTATACTTACTCTTCATCTTTTAAAAAAATAGTTTTGTTGAAAATTCTTATAGTTTTAAGTCAAATATTTCTTCAATAGTTCTCCAGTTGTTGTTAATCATGATGAGAGATAACTTCTAACTCTCTACAAGATCAGCTAGATCGATATTAATCGCGTCTGCTCACTAGTAACTATCTTCAATGTGGATTTTTCAAATCTCTATTATGAAACTGGAAGTGCTAAAAGTCTGTTAATAAGAACTTTGAGCATTTCCTGAATACTTAACATCACATCGGTTATGAGTCGCGAAACTTCACAAAGTTAAAGGTGTAGAAGCCTTAATTCTGACTGTATTGTATCGTGGCTGTGCATTTGGTTCGGTAAAAATATTGTGTACGGTCTACTGAGCAACTTTAAACGGCCAAATTAAAGGGGAGTGTTGGTATAAGAATAAGCTATGATACACAATTCGTTTAGCCAACGGCGTTTATATATATATTACGTGGGTCACAGATAGTTTTTGAATACACAGGCCTGCCACCTTGATGCGGTGACTTCTCTTACCTTCTTTAATCACCTAACTTGCTATATTGGCTGAAACAATCGTTTTTACTTTTCCAGGTGAGTCAACTAAAGTGCGATGAGACTTACATCAGTGAGTTTAAATTCCGAGAGCGAAGTCCTGTTAGCTACTATACTTAGGTGTAACGGTATCCGAGGTTTTTCTTTTACCTGACATCCGGTATCCAGCACCTTTGATCTATGTTAATTGGTTCAAACTATTTTGTTGTCGTCACGGCGATAACTACAGTCGGTTGTCGGAAACGTTGTGTGACATGAATCACAATTTATAACAGTGGTGCAAAGATGCATTCACTCGTTATCTTTGTTGGTTGTTTACTTTGCTAATTTCATCTCGTCGTGCTGATGTAGTTTAGAAACTTGTACTGACATTATATATATATATATATATATATATATATACTGATATTTCTGTACCTCATCAGACTACTTGAATCCAGGCTGTCTGAACAATGCCTATGATCTGTGTGTATGCAGAATGAGTATTTTAATTATTGAGAATCAAATCGTCACTAAATTCAAATTATTTCATTTATTTTATTATTTATTTCAACACATAAGTATTGGTACAAGAGGGCACCAAATATATATGCGCCACACTATATTTGTGTGTGTATAGGCTGTGATACTGCCCAGGTGCCCAGATCGAAGCAGGTGGTTTTCTTAGGGACCCACACCCCGAGCCTTTGACTTGAAGGTCTAATCGACAAGGCAGTGAAGCATTGTGAGGAGATGCAGTCCCATGGTAGCCGGTGACCAACAATTGGTTCATACGCCATTTGTTCCCACAGGATACTGGAGCCCATGTGCACCATTGGTTTGGGATCCGGATAAAGCGCCGGACATTCGCTTTTCGTCCTCTCATTTTCGTAAACAACACCCCCGTGGTGAAAGAAGGCAGTGAGTAGGACTTCCCTGGTAGAGGCTGTATACGCATGGCCGTGTGAGAGCATTTCGAGAGGGAGGACGGGCTCACCTTACTCTCGGCCGTACCAGGGCATTTGGAGGCAATTTAAATTCTACTTAATCATTTATATCAAACGTTATAAAGCAAGTGTTACTGTTAGTAAGTTTACTTCATGAATATTTGACTGATTTCTTTCAAATTTGATTAACTTCACTTCTAGTGTGAAATGTTTAATAATTCTATTGCATAACCATCTACATCATGATTAGTCGAACTGTTTCCAAAACCACATTACTTAATTAGGTAGGTACTTAAGAGTTTAATACTCTATGCACTTCTACTTTACTACAAAATTAAAACAATATAGTCTACAATATGTTCTACTACTATTGAATGATGTAAATAATTAAAGTTATTATATTTTGTTCATTATCATATGGTTTCTTATTCGTCTATTCCTTTTTTTAACTTTCAGGGATCATGTGTAATTGTGTTTGTACGGAATTAGTAAAAACTATCTTGAAATTAATCGATATTACGAAATCAGATTGTGATAACATTTTGATCTTGTTGGAGTCTATCAAAAACACTGTAAGCTATTGTTGGTATTATTATTATTATTATTATTATTATTATTATTATGGTGAGCATATTTGTAAATGATTTTCTGATAAGACATTGACACATTCAGCTAATCTAGTATGCAATAATTATGAATGAGCGATTTATGTGACCCATGTTTAGAATTTCGTTAAGTTATGAATGTATAGTCAGGATTAGAATGTATAGCTTAGTTTTATTATTGCAACTAAGATATAATGTCAGAAGGGGTTTTGTGGAGATTGTAGTAATTTCAATAGTTGTGATCATGAGTCAGTTGTGAGGTAGTAACTCACTGATGACAATGGTGGATGTGTTGCTCGATTTCGTGGATTAGTTGAAGTTAGACATTGACACCATTGGATGCCGGCCAGCTCAGTGGTCTAGTTGATTAAGCGCCTGGCGCGAGACTGATAGGTCCTGGGTTCGGATCCTGCGAGGCGGGGTCATGGATGCGCACTGCTAAGGAGTCCCACAATAGGACGGAACGGCTGTCCAGTGCTTCCAGGTTTTCCATGGTGGTCTAGCTTCAATTGACTCATGATCTCAACTATTGAAATTAAGATATAATGCTTATAATCTAGGTTTGTAAGATTTAAAGGATTGATATGAGTTTATTTAGTCCTAAACTTTATATCTTCACTCCAAACATCCCTGATTCTAACTCTAAACTATCTATTCTGACAACTTAAGAAAAAAAATTTTAATATTCTCTTGAATGAACGTTTTTAATACGACTAACTGTTAGCTGTTCTGTTATTTCATCTAATTCATCATTCGTAAACAACATGTTCATTTGATAGAGATACTTCGTGGCTTTAAAACGATTCCTCGGTTCATGACTGACTCACCCTCATAGCTTAATTTAGTCATTAATATTATTCACATTTAAATAGATATATTTAGACCAGGAGGACAAATGAATGGTGATAATAATCCATTGTCTTTGTTGCTATCATTAAGCTTAACAGTTCAATATTTTTTCGGTCAGGGGAGCTATACAGATTAAATATAATTAGTAATAATTTGATTTATTCACTAGGTAGGTAACTCAGATAAACCACATACACTTTAAGTGTGTTTTCTATGATATCTGATTTTGTTTACACATTTTATTGACTTTCTTAAAAAGGTAAAGAAAGGGTGGACTTTTTTTCATTTTCAGAGAGCTGTAGCATCAATGATACTTGTGTTATAAAATTATCATTATAGGATAACTTGAATTCTTGTCGGATCATGGTTAATACAGATTTGTATCCCAGATAAATCTATTTTTATACAACTACTTTTCTGTGATTTTAATGATATATTATCTTTCGAGTGTTAGTTTTCACATTCAAACTCCCTTCTGCCTTCTTTTTTTTGGGGGGGGGGGAGGACGACAAGTTTGGTAGTATTTCTAGCTTTGTAATAATACTGTGATTAAGCACTTAATAAAGACAACACTCATATATAGCCATTAAGTTTGATGTTCAAGTTTGTAACCTTTTCTTTACTGTGTATATTTCAAAGACAGAGTAAATAGAGAATCTTCTGGTGCAATGTGATGTTTTTTTACCTGATTTTACATTATCCTTAACGTGATCTATTTCAATAATCAGAGAAGGGTTTTTTTGAATATTATAGTAATTTAGTAGTTGAATTCATGAGTCAATTGAAGCTAGACCACTATGGAGAACTTGGAAGCACTGGACCGCCAGTTTTCCATGAGGATAAGGTTTATTTGACGCTCTTCATTTCTGTTTAAACAATATTCGAAGATTAACGAGAATATTTTTACATATGGATTTAATATCTCTTAAAGGGTCGTCGAAAAAACCGGATTGTTGTATGATCTAAAGTTTTCGCTTCCATTAATTGTAAAGTACACAGTGCGTTGGGAATTGAAAACAGATATAATGAATAGCAATAATATTAATGAACGGCAACTGGAAAGACAAGTCCATGAATGTTGGTTGGAGATTAGTGGTCGACAGCTCATGTTCTTCGAGGTTTAACAGGTGTACGTAAGTAGTTACACAGGAAGAAGATGAAGGGTTGGCAAAACTTGGTGTCCCAGCTGAATAACTCACAATAGTGCTAAGGTCATACTGTGGTGCGTGCTACTTATATTGACATAAGTAGTATATAACGCGATTCAGGAATGTAATGTCTGGCAGCAGAAGATTGGGAAGATCAAGAAAGGAAGGACGGAGATGGAAAGCAATTAGTATAGGAATGTAAGAACAATGAAGTCCAAGACAATTATTGAACATTTTGCAAATTAAGTATTATAGTATTGTTTTTCTATTTTACCAAGTAACTCTGTAATGTCGTGCTGAATATAATTTGGTTGTCCTCACCTGCGTTCTCCTTCACTACAATACGAATAGTCAAGTGAGAATGAACACTAGCGGTTAATATTACTAACATGATTATAACATTCTAAACAACAAAAAAAAACACTAATCCTGTAATCTCTTTAGCATCGGATTACTGATGGTGTAGTTTTTTCCTTTTATCGTTTTGACCCAATTTTCCTGTTTTTTTCTCCCTCTTTCTCGCCCTGTTTATATAATCGATCGGTTAGTGTGTCCTCATATTGTTATTTATTTATTTTCCTCTTCCTAAATAAATAAAATGATAATAATATTCATTCCTTCCAATTCATTTTGAATACTTCTCTTCATACAAAGGCTGAAGTTTTATAGATTATAACAAACTATACAAATAACCTTGAACTACTTTTCAAAACTAATATGTGTAAATTCTGTTTCGTTTTGCTTATGTGATTTATCAATAAGAATCTAATACAATTAGAATTGATAAACAGTTTCATTAATCTAATAATAGATGTTTTTCTATTCTAAATCATGAAAGACTTTCATCATAGATGATTCGATCAGCTGTAATAATTTGTGTAATCATTTTAGTGAATTTCGCCCTGAAATCTGATTGGTTCATTCATATTCTTTATTTTTACCGCCCAATATTTTGATAATTCAATGAATCAGGTTTTGTTCACTTCATCCAATGATGCTTTTCGTTCATTATTATTATTATACTGTAACCTTAAGGTATTTACGCTGGTCAATCAATATTTTGCTTGTTCGAACACACACTTCTCTCCCATTTAAGGAAGGGAATTTTCTTGTGACCTGATAATTCCTTATGTCAGTAGAATAGACAGGAAGTTAATTTGAAATAAACTATGTATCTTCGTTGTTATTCAAAAAAAGTGGGGATGGGTGGGTGGGTGGTTGAAAAACTCAGTTAGATATCAACATTTTTATGAATGTATTTTGGTGTTTGATTCCAAGTTATTATTTAACAAGAAAGAAAGTGTTTTAGTAAATATGTTGACGATAATATGAAAAGTTGAGGCAGGATTGGGGAATTTGTTAGTATATTACTTGAAAATTACGCTGAATACCTGCTGTTTTCTGAATTAGCCTTGTATCGTCCGAGAATTTGTGGTAGACTGACAGATCCCTGTCTCACAAAAGTATTCATAACACAATAGCTCTATGTAATAAACTGGCTCTCTCTCCACTTTTGCAACCCAGTTCTATTGTCAGATAACAATGCACAACGTTGCAGCCGTTGGGATAACATTCGTAAAACATGTCCAAGCTACTGATGTCGGTGTTTCTTGTTGATGGTACCAATAAAGTTATCGTCACTGCGGTCGGACACGTATTCCTGAACCTCAACGTGATGTTCCCCCTGGATATCAGCAATCCTTTGAAGAACCTTTTCTAACCTCCTTCCTACGTGAATGGGCAGCGTCGCTTAAGATTCTGGTCTTTTAACGCAAACACTGTCATACCCCAACACAGTTACCAGTATGACTTTAATCTAGAATCTTTTACTTTTTGTTTCGTCGCTTCCCAATCCACCTACGTTGGATGGTAGGACCTAAATTAACAAATTTTTCAGTCATTATAGATCAATTCAGTTATCACAAGCCTTGATCACGACGTCAAGTTAACAGCTACGATTGAACTTGACTAACCTAAAAAAATTATTCTTCCCTTTTTGAGATTTTCTCAATGTCCACAAACAAGAGACTGTATTGATTTTATTATTGTTTGATTATTATTGGTTGATGTTAGTTTCGAATTTTTAATGATGAATTTATTATTTGCTACTTTTTAAGCATCCATCACTTCATAGAAGTTTTATGTTAATCGATTCCATAAAGTTTGATGTAAATTTATTCATCTATGGTTACTCGTTAGTTGCTACTAATATTGCATTGATCCATGTAAGTAGCTGCAGACTATCTTGCTGAGATCCAAGTGACTATCGAAATCAGTGGTTGTTAACTTTGGTTAATATGGCTTAAAATCGTTCGCAATAGCGTACGGTTATTCACTCTTTGTCTTTGTCATATTTTCTTTTCAAGTCCTATCGTCGATGCCTGATCTTTTTCATTTCTACTACTACTATTACTATCTCCTACTATTCTGGGCATTTTCCTGACAATCTCATTTCGCTGTGTTAATAAGCTCTGTTAGTTTGAACTGATGTACACATGTTTCGTGTTATTTATTGTGTATGACCGACTATTACCATTACATAGTTACGTAAATGAATAAACTCCAACCCAAACTTTGCTGTTTCACAGTTCACATATAGTTAGCTAAATCATTCGATCCTATATTGTGTACACTAGGTGTTTTCTCGTGTACATAAAAATAACTAGTAAGGTTATTGTTCCTCGTTTTTATTGTTGGAACCGTTAGGAATTTAATATATTTTTAACCTAATTTTCTATCTTATTGATTAGATCGTGGAATTTTTCAAACCTTCTGAAGTTGTACATCAGCCAGCTGCAAAAGAATCAATAACTAAATCACAGCATGTAAGTACATTTTTCTTTTTTGTTAAAGGATTATGAGGAAAAATGAAGTTATTACTGTATGAAAGATTTGTGGGAATTGTTGAGTTTCATAAGTAACATCATGGACTTAAATTTAAAAAATCTGTTTTGTCCTAGTATGGAACTTCTCAGCATTTTGCATTTATAAGTTAGGCTCTCGCCGTTAAACTCAAAGGTCCCTTGTTCGATACCCTGTGGTGGGGTCGTGGATCTACACTGTCATTGAAGAATTCCGTGCTATACGTAGTAGTTGTCCGGTGCTTCTTGGTTTTCATGGACTGGCTTACTAAAATCAGTGAGCGATGTAAATGACTTAACATTTCATTGACCTATTGAATGGATGCTCGTGTTTGACAAAACGTTTTTTTGTACTTAGTCTTTATATTTTGTATTTAATAATAAATATCGGCTTTTAAGTTATTCGTTGCGAGTTTCGAAATTTTAAATGTTTTGTTGGAAGTGAAACAATCAGAATCCTTGCCTACACTGAATTAAATCCTTTTCGGGGTAGTACTTGTGAAATATAAGCTTACATTACCGTGCTACTTAACGTGTGTTGAATACGTTAATCAATAAATATTTCGTAAATTAGGCCCCCAAATGCTCTTGTACGGTCGAGGGTGGGGAGAGTTAACATTCCCTCTCGAAAGGCTCTCACATGGACACGTATTGATCCACTATCATGGAAGTTCTACTCACTGTCTCCTGGCGAAGGGGGGAGGGGTTGTTTGCAAAATTGAAAGGGCGAAACGCGAGTGTCCGATGGGGACTTTAACCGAGTTGGTTGACACAGAGGATCCACTGAGGGGAGTTGGAAAACCTTGATTCCAAACCAATAGTGTGCATGGGCTGCAGTATACTGAAGGAATAAATGGCGTATGAACCGATCTTTGGTCACCGGCTACGATGGGACTTCATCTCACAACATTGCTCCACTTCCTTGTGGATCAGACCTTTAGGACCTACTTCGTTTTGGGCACTCGGGTAGTATCACAACCCACACACAAGTCAAGTGACTTATGTGGCGTATATATATTCGGTGTCCTTTGTACCAGCATTACTGTGTTCAAATAAATAAACTTACATTATCCTTCAAGCATATTTGTTTTCTTCTGATGTACATGGCTTTATATAAAGTAACTTTGTTCAAAACAAATCATCAATAAAGTTTGTTTTAATCGAAATCATTGCTAGTTGTAAACTTCAAAAGTAGAATTAAGCTCTACAAGATCCATAACCAATGTTATTTTGATGCAAATGTACTGATATTTATGAATCATTTATTCAAATTTATTAAGATTACATTAGCATTTTCACAGTTGATATAACTAATGTTTTTTTTTGGGGGGGGGGTTAGATTATTGAATGTCAATTAGTTGTTTGTTTACTAAACTTCTCAGTTATTCTATGTATAATACAATTGAAATGAAAATAGTGCATGAAATGTAAATTTTATTGTTTAACCTAAGTCTATATGTTTTACACCATCTTATCATAACTGTGTATTCGTTATTTGAATCATCCCGTTGGTGTTGAGAATTACAATGGATCAGTATCTTTTTTTTGAGGGTAGGGGGGGGTAGAAATGTGTACGCGGTGATGGTTACTTTGATATTGCCATTAATTCACAAACAATTTGATAAGCTGAAATGAATAATGGCGCGTTCCGTTCTACTTAGAACTTTTCAACTGAATGTACCTGGTATATCCAAGAGTTAATGTTTATTCTGGGACATATAGAACGAAACGTGCATTCTGGATTCAACTGCTTGCCAATATCAGTAATTTAGTTGTTCGTTTGTAAAGAAAACACAACTAGAATGTATTCACTATAATAACGGATAAATATTTTTATTAGATTCGAACTAAAATGCCAAACGTTCCGAGTTATTTATGTTTTTTTAATTCGCATAAAATCTGGTACGACTTTATTTATTTGAATACATAAATATTGGTACAAAGGGGCACCAGATACGTATGCGCCACACAAATCTCATTTGATTTGTGTGAGGGCTGTGATACTGCCCGGGTGCCCAAACCGAAGCAGGTGGTTTTCTTAGGGGACCACATCCGGATCCTTTGACCCAAATGTCTGATCCACAGGGCAGTGGAGCATTGTGGGGAGATGCGGTCTCATGGTAGCCGGTGACCAACAATTGGTTCATACGCCATTTGTTCTCTCAGGATACTGGATCCCACGATGGATTTCGAATGAGGGTTATCCAACTCCCCTAGGTGGACTCTCCATGTCCACCAACCAGCTTAAAGTGCCGGACATTCGCTTTTTGTCCTCTCATTATCGTAAACAGCACCCGTGGTGCGAGAAGGTAGTGAATAGGACTTCCCTGGTAGAGGCTATATACTCGTGGCCACTTGAGTGGATTTCGAGAGGGAGAGCTGACTCTTCCGACTCTCGGTCGTACCAGGGCATTTGGGGGTCGACTTTGCACCAAAAATAATATGTTCCAGAAGGATGTTTGTGTGTAGACTGTTGTACCACCACCTATGGACCTAAATCGAGACAAATAGTTTCCTTACGTGAACATTGCCTGAGTATATGGTTAAAGGTCTAATTGAAATCGCATTTAAACAATGTCAGGAGTTACCATATTTTGGTAGCCAGTGACCAAAAATAGGTTTATGCATTATTAGTTCCTTCAGGATTCTTGAGCTTATGTTAGTCATTGATTTTAGGGCCACTATTTTACTATTCCATTATGTAGACCGTCCGTGGGCATCAATTAGTTTTAAGCACTGGAATTTCAATTTTCTTACTTTTACCTTCGTAAACAACACCTACATGATGTGAAGAAAGTGATTTAGTTTTCTCTGGAAAGGAATGTAACCTCATAACTGTGACAGTATTCCAAAGGAGTGATCGAGTTTTCCCTATCTTCAACCGTACCGAGACATTTAGAAACTGACAATTTATGTTCTCCTTTTCGTTATTCTTACTAAGACGTGTCAACTTACGAGCTTTGTACCGATATTGTATTTGAACCTGTGTTAGTCATACTTATCTAATGATTGGTATAAAATTGATTGCCTAAACTCGTTAAACAGCTACAACTACTACTTAAGTACTGGATTTCAAGCTTGTCAAACTAATATTGACCTGAGATTTCATATGTTATTTCTCACTCATATGCGCTGGGTTGATTGAATTATGGCATATCCAACTTTAATAGGTTTCAGGCATATGCAAGAAATAATTTTTCTCTTAACTTCACTGTAATCTACAACTGACTATAATCTCTATACAACTTCATACGTTGTTTTGTGAGAAAAAGAACTTTTTTTTCATTTTCGAAACAATGGAATTATTATAAGCAAGGATGGATAGTGGATAACAGTGGAATTCAGGACGCGCGTTTCGTCCTGTTTGGGACTTGTCAGCTGAATGTACCTGCATCTCAGAGTTTGATGTTCACTCAACCTAGTACTGTTCACTTCAAAACGCCATTGCGTTATCCACTTAGTTACTGAGTCGTGACAGTCACTTGCTTGTGAAATTTATCTTTGCTTATAATGCTTGTGAATTAAGGCAATATCGAGGCAATACGCACAGTATGCACATATACCAATAAGAGACTGATCAATATCAGTCCTAAATATCATTGGGAAGATTCAAGGAAACAATACCAAGTGAATACAATTATTGGTTTAAGTTTATTAAAAGAGTAATATCTTCTTGCAAGTAAATTTCAGGTACTTGTGTACAACCTATACTCTAAATATTAGGGCTGATGTTAATACACGGCTGCCCAAACCAAAATAGGTAGGTTTGGATTTCGAATCTCGAACTCAGTAGCCGTAAGTCGAGTGCTTCAATTGCTAAACTATCGCCTTCGTGTTTGGTGTATATGTGAATGTCATTTAAGCATCTGGTTAACGTTTTTTATACAGCTACGTTGTTGTCAATGGGATAGAGTTGCTAACCGAATCCTTAAGAGAGGGAGAGAGAGATGTAGAGTAAGATGATATTACTCACCCTTCCAATTTGAAGTAGAGGAAGAGGGACTCGAACTTGAAGCCTAATAGTATGAAAATCAACCACCTTATTTCCACAAAATCCTTTCACTCTGTCTAACAGCTTCCTTTTTTCTTACCTCCATTGATAAACAATCAAACTAATCATAGCGAATAGTATATTGTCACTTGAATTTCGGCAAATCAATCTAAATTGTCAGTTGATATCAGTTTCTATACGAATCAAATTCATGAAAACAATTCTAAGACCAAGTTATTACTTATATCCATTTTTATATTATCCTTCATTTTGGATTTGATGATTAACTCCTTATTACAATTGACAAATGTGTATAATCAGTAGAATTCAATGCCCTGGTATGGCCGAGAATGGGGAGAGTCCGCTCTCCATCTCGAAATGCTCTCACACGGCCACGCGTATATAGCCTCTGCCAGGGAAGTCCTACTCACTGCCTTCTCTCACCACGGGGATGTTGTTTACGAAAGGCGAATGTCCGGCACTTTAACAGGATTCCAAACCAATGGTGCACATGGGCTCCAGTATCCTGCGAGAACAAATGGCGTATGAACCAATTGTTGGTCACCGGCTTCCATGGGACTGCATCTCCTTACGATGCTACACTGCCTTGTGGATCAGACCTTCAGGTCGAAGGCTCGGGGTGTGACCCCTAAGATAGCCACCTGCTTCGGTTTGGGCACCCGGGCAGTATCACAGCCCTCACACATATCGAATGAGATTTGTGTGGCGCATATGTATTTGGTGCCTCTTTGTACCAATATCTATGTGTTGAAATAAATAAAATAAATAAAGTACTAACAGAATAGGCGAAACTATAATTTATGGAAGAAACAATCAGATCTTGGTTAAATACCATTTTGGTATTATAACTGATGTCAGTTCATGATGAAAGCACTAAATCTTATTCCTCACATTATTTTCTAACCCTCATAACAAACCTGGTAATTGGGTGGAAATTCCAAGGTTTATTTTG